AACATACTTTTACAAGTGTCCGCCACCCCCCCCCCCCTCCCGGAAAATGTCCTCCCTTCGAAAATTTCAAGTTGCCCCCCCCCCCCCCTCCGGAGCAAAAAGTCTGGAAGAAACACTGCGTGTAACAATGTCAAATTCACAAGTAAAGGTAAGCCAACGAATAGAATGTTTACTCTAATTTATGGGCCAGTTTTTGAGAATGCGCCACTGTGGATAGCTTTGTAGAGATGAGCGGGGGGGGGGGGGGGGGATCAAATCGAGGAAGCCGAAATATCGGCCACTGGGGCTGACGTAGAACGCAGCGCCCGTCAAAACGTCTCCCGTCACGTCATTATGTCTGATCTAGGGGGCTGTGACGGTCTGTCGCTCAGCCCGTCCATTGAACCAATTGATCTGCCTTCAGTTCTCTCCCCTCATATTAGCTTGATTGTCAGGCAGGACAACTCATGGCCAACCGTAAGTCATTGTTATCTTTTCTTGCTTTTTCGAGTTTTTATTTTTTTAAAATAATTAACTTGATTTGCGAAATAAAGTTTTAATTTTTCTTGCTTCTATGGCAAGCTTTTTAAAAATTACTAAAAGTACTGATAAAATTAAAAAGGATAAAGGTTGACAGCTCCGATCTGTTCTTGGAAATATGACTTTAGGGATCGATGACAACCAGCTTGTTATTATCTGGCCTCGTTCACAAGAAGTCACTTAATGATGGGGCACTTTAGCCCATCTTTCCTCCGTCGGTCGCATAATGATGGCGCCAGACGTACACACGTGCACGAACACATGATGACGTCAGTAGCACACTAACACAGCGATGACATCAATGGCACATCAATACGATGAATTCACTCAACGATAGATACACATCATCACGACACACCAATGAACGTGTAATAGAACTTGTTTGGGTGTCTTCATTATACTTTAAAATGCACAGCGATTGTGGAGTTTCCCGTTACTAAATATAAACCGTACCATTCCGCGCTAATACAAGACGGCCGCAAAAGAAAAAGAAAATATGAAGCGTGGTACAACATTAGGAAAGATGAAACTGTAAGTATTGAAACCAACACGTAATTCGTTACTATGTTGGCGCGACGGACATGCTGGTTGGTGATAGTTTTAGGATGAAGGTAATAGCTGGACAGTTGAAAGCTTAAGATAGTTTCGTTAGTGGATCTCAGTTGTAGGATTGTCTAGCAGATGGCTTAAGATTGTGAATGAATCGAACCTATCATTTGGTGGGTCTAGATTAGCATCTGACCTGGGTGTTTTGTTTGATTTCTTAGGACGTCTCGGAATGTCTAAATGACGTCTATCATGATTTCTTAGGACGTCTCGGAATGTCTAAATGACGTGCATCATGATTTCTTAGGACGTCTCGAAATGTCTAAATGACGTGCATCATGATTTCTTTGGACGCCTCGGAATGTCTAAATGACGTCCATCGTGATTTCTCAGGACGTCTCGAAATGTCTAAATGACGTCCATCATGATTTCTCATGACGTCTCGAAATGTCTAAATGACGTCCCTCAGTAGGACGTCTCATACGTTTGTAAAGGACGTCCGTCAGGCTGACGTCTATGAGTAAAGGACGACTAACTGAATGACGTTCCGGGTTAAAGACGTTCACCAGAGCGTGTGTAAAATAGGACGTATAAATATAACGTCTCAGTTTCTGAGGTACGTCCATTAATAGGGCCTCTCTGAGTAAAGGACGTACATAAGCAAGACGTCTCAATGTCTAAAGGACGTCTCTGAGTAAAGGACGTACATAAGTAAGACGTCTCAATGTAATCTCTGAGTAAGGGACGTACATAAGCAAGACGTCTCGGTGTCTAAAGAGCGTCTCTGAGTAAAGGACGTACATAAGCAAGACGTCCCAATGTCTAAAAGACGTCTCTGACTAAAGGACGTCAACTAGTCGGCAAGAAATCACCGAAGTTGTCCGTAGATGATGGGAAAAGTTGGGTAACAGAGCATGGTACTTGTTACATTAGTTTCCATGTACACTTCTCAACCTGTAGGGACAAATAAAATAGAGTTTATCAGTCTTTGTGACCTCAGTGTATAAAGAGATAGTTCGGCCTTTCTATGCGCAGCCGTCTTTACTTTCCCTAACATAACTCAGGTACCCACTAGGGACTTTCTATGGACGGGATTCGAACTCGAGACTTCCGGGTTAACTGTCGTACGCTCTACTCTCCGACCTCTCTGTCCCATCCTATCTTCATTAAACCACCATATAACTACCAGTCACAAGTAAGCGAGAAACACGCGGACACAAAACGAAACTACCGATATACTCAGACAATAATTTACAAATTTACTGTCGACATATTTTTACCTCTCATTGTCACCAATGATCGATCTACCCTTCCCTTTAATTTCTTTTCCTTGTCTGTGTTTTCAAGTCGTGTTTGATGAGGTGTGGTATTACCAGATTGTGTGCGCGTCTGTAAATTCAGACTGTTGAGGCGATGAATAGTGTTGTTTCATGTTGTTTGTGTCGGTTAGCCTAACTGTGTTAGGATGTGGATCGTGGTTAGGGGTCGTCCATAAATGACGTCACACTCGTAAAGGGGGGGGGGGGTGTCTGTAATTTTGTGACTGTGTGTGATGAGGGGAAGGGAGAAGGGTTTCAGATGGTGTGAGTCACACATTTGCATTACAGAAAAAGCAATGTTAGAAAACGAGTTTTAGCCGTTATTTCACGTTTTACAAAACGGTTTTAATAAACTGTAATAGGAATTGATAAAAATACTCTATGTTGACAGAGTTATGACAAGATTATGGAAAAATATCGATGTTTTAAGAAAAATTGAACAGCAATTTTGAGGTGGGGGGGGGGGGGGTTGTAGGCTGAGGTGTGACGTCATTTTAGGGGGGTGGTCTGGCTTTTTGTGACGATGTGTGAGGGGGGTAGGTAAAAAACGTCAAAAAAAGCGTGACGTCATTTATGGATGACCCCCTTAGGCTACAGCTCAACAAGGGGGAAAGAGAAGAACATTTTTTGTACTGCCTGGGTTTACACAGTATGGAAAGGGCGATACCAACCATATATATACTAGGCATGCTGCCCAGCTTCGCTTAGGCTTTCGAAAACATTGAGAATTTGAATGCTTAATTAATTCGCCCGAAGGTCCGTCTACGACCTCAAGAGTTATGAAGAGGTTCCTCCGTGGACATTTTTTTTCGATTTATAGCTCATATAAGGTACCGGTCAGTCGAGGTCAGTTTTGACCCCCACATCGTAGACTTTTCGGCCAACCGGCCCCCGTATTCTGTCGCACCAAGGCAAGATCATGCCAAATTTGAAGCGCCTGCGGCGCCGGGAAGTGCCCTATCGGACACCCGACAATCTAGATCTAGATCTAGATTCCTAAAAGAATTTTTTTTTTAAGTTTAGCCCGAGCATAATAAAAAAGAATACATTAACCAAGTTGACTTGCTGTGTCTCGAACCCGCACCACCTGCGTGGTTTAATGTACACTAACATCTCCGCTATTTAGGCACCTTATAAAATACGGAGAATGAAACACGTATTTTAAAATCTTAACTTACGCGAATATGCCTATTCTTTCAAATTAATTTTTTATCCCAAATTAGCCAGTTCATAACAAAGATTTTGTATAAAATAAATAAGTCTTGAAATAGTTTAGTCCTAATATAGAAATTTATTTTTGGAATTGATTTTAGAGAAGTTAGAGTCTAAATCTAGATCTTAGCGTCTACGTCTAGATCTAGTTATTGCGTAGATTTAGATTTAGATTTAGTCTAGATCTAGAATCTCTAGATCTAGAATCCAAATACATAAAATAAATTTTATGAGTTTAGGCCGGAAAAATTGTATTGTTTACATTTCATAGTGTACGTAGATCTAAATCAAATTTGAATGAAATAGTTCATTTCTTTTCATTCTAAACACGGCAGATGACGTCATTAGTTAATGTATAAGCAATAGTGACGTCACAGTTTTATGCGTTCTTTTTCACATATATTAATGCTTTTCCGGTTGCATAAATAATACTGTTTCTCTACATTCGAATACGCCTTTAATTTTTATTTTTCTTCTTTAACTAAAATTGTGGTTATACATTTAAAACATCTAACATATTATTTTCAACAAAATTCCGTAAAAAGTTCTTCATATATCGCTGCCGATTCTGACGTGATGTCCGGGCGAAATTTTTTTGCGGACAGAGAGAGAGAGAGAGAGAGATGTGCGAACGTGGGGATTTATATATTAGGATATCTATATATGTGTGTGTGTTAATATATATATATATATATATATATATATATATATATATATATATATATATATATATATATATATATATATATATATATATATATATATATATATAATATATGGGCTTTTGTATGTATATATTGAATAAGCCGTCAATACTGGACATTACTCCACCAGGAGGTAAAAACTTTTGTGACAAAGTGTAACAACACACTTTTGAATTGTTAGTAGTAATTGTTTCATAAGCTGTTTTTTTTTTAAAGTTGTTAACAAGAATCGATCAAAATAGGCCTACCTAATACTGATCAATCTCATTCTTTTTTAAAACAAGGAATTCTTATTTTGAGAATTTAAAAAAAATGCAATAGGGGGAGGGGGGGGGGAAGACTGAAGAGTGCCGTCATTTTAGGAAGGGATGGATCTGGATTTTTTATGGTAAGCTGGAGGGTAAGCATTATCACGAAAGCGTGATGTCAAATAATGATACAGAGGTTGAATGCATTGGTATGATTCTAAGAAAAGTAAACTTTGTACCTAGCTGAATCGTCAAATAATGTCCGAGCGTTTGATTTAGGATAACTGAATGATTATACACATACACATGTAATATGAAATTTTTAAAATGTTTATTTATTACATCCTATTTACATTCATCCCATTTTGTTGATACACTTTTTTTGGAAACAATTGTAACATTATGATGGAGCATTTTATTCTCTCCCCTGAGTACTGTCTTGTGTGTTACAGCCCCTGAATTGCATCCTTGTTTGCGAGATGACGCGGCCGATGGGACATCACACGCGGGCGGCACGTTCAGCGAGCTCACGCCCGAGGGGGACAAGGCAAAGGCGGCGCTTAAAAAACAGATGAAACGTAAACACTCGGCGGTAAGTAGGGCGGGGTACACTGTCCTTTTTTTGTTTGGGGGGGGGGGGGGGGAAGGGGGTGGGGGGCATGGTATAGTTTCTGTTTTGGCTGGAGTGGGGGAGCATGGAGGGCATGGCACGGTGTCCGCTATTTGTGTGTATGTGGGAGGGGGATGGGGGTGGAGGCAAATGGAGGGCGTGGTACAATGTCCTTTTTGTTGGGGTGGGGAAGGGGTTAATGGTACAGTTTCTGTTTTGATTGGGATTGGACGGGAGGGATGGTACAGTATCTATTTTTGGGGTGGGGTGGGGGTATGGAGGGCGTTGTACAGTGTCCGATTTGTGTGTGTGGGGGGGGGGGGAGACATGGAGGGAGTCGAGAAATATGTTTTTATAGTAGGACATAATGAAGTCTGTTGGGGGGGGGGGGGGGGTGTATGCTTGCTATATGGGGGGACGTAGTGAAGCCTGTTTATGTTACAGGGTCATAGTGAACTTTTTACTGTAGTTTTAAACCAAAATTGTATATCTTTAACTTTAATATCGAGACAAATAAAATTTAAAGTCTATCTTGTATATTATTATACTTAACAAAAAATTTACAATTGTGAATGGGTTTGATTGCTGTCAAAAAATGTTTTTCGACCTTGGCATTTGACCTTTCTCTCCCAAATCATCTCTCAAACATTAACTACGCCCCTCCCGTCATGTTACATTAACATAACTGCAGACGGTTCGGAGTTTATATAAAGCAAAAAAAAATCTTTGCGAAAGTTTGCCTTTTTATTTCTTGCGTGTTTTTTTATCTTCATCACCGAATAATTGCATGATCAATAAATAGGCCACGCGCATGTTTCGATGTATGTAATTTTTCAGAAAACACATTTTAAAAATTTCGCGTGGTGTTTTATATTTCTTCCCAGACCAGCAAAAAATATTTTGTAGTTACCTCCCATCTCCTCTAGAAGTTACGGCCCATTTCTCGTATTCCCAAATCACGACTTTCCGCTGTCGAGATTTCTTGTTTTGGTGGGCATGGTAGTCTGTAAACAAACATCGTATCTGCCTTTTTTATATTTTTTTTGTCTAAGCTTACTTTGGTCGTTTAAAAAATATTCCATCATTTCATATCATGGCTTAAAAAACCATTATCGTCGAAAAAAAGTTGTTTTGAAAAGTTTAAACGCAATTGAGGTTTGAATAGAGCACCGACTACATTCGAAATGCTCCAAATTTAAATGCTAGGAGATTCTCCAGGCCGACTACAGGGCTCATGAGATCATCAGAGTTTCTTCCAGGTATCTCTTCATCTCGCCCCCCCCCCCCCCCGAAAAAAACCTACCGCCCCCCCCCCCGAACGAAATAAAATTTATATAGAAAATATATACTTTTAACAGTCCGTCCCCCGCCCCCCCCCCCCGAGAAAATCTACCCCCCCCCCCTCGAAAATTTCAAGAGCCCCCTGGAGAAAAAAGTCTGGAAGAAACACTGAGATCATCGTCTTTAAATGGGCGATTACTGCGGCCATGTCCTACCGAAAAGTTTGATCTCAAAACTTGAAAGTTCTATTGATTAGATTCATCTTTATAACTGATTGATATATTAGGCATATTAGCTCTATTAAAAACAATAACTTTAAAATCTGGGCCCAAACTAGCCCTTATTCTATCAAGAAATTAGTTCCGTTTTAACTTCGATTATTTTTAAATGGGTCGGGTAGTCAGGAGGGAGATAGTATGGTTCATGGTAGCTACAAAAGTCTCGAGTTCAGACCCGGGCAGATGACTCTTCTTGGCCTGGGGACAGCAACGCATCAAGTATAAGAAAACCTACAGCAACAACTGCTGCCTTGCAGATTGTTCTTGACGGACTAAGGCTATAGAATCAAATCCAGAGAGAAAATCCTTAATTACGTTTGGGATACCCTATGCATAATCCAATAAAGAACGAAGAAGAAGATTATCCCTACCCAGATGATGATAGCTGATGTCGCCGATAGCAAAAAATTCAAACTCAAGCCGAACTTCCGCCCTGTCGTTAAAGGGTTAAAATACCGTTGTCAGCGAAATCGGCTTTACAAATGTGTTGCTGAGGTTGATCGACAAGTACCCTAAAAATGTTCCTTAGAATTAAATTATCCATACATATACTGGCAAACATTTTTGTAATAAAGTTTAAATCTCTATTCTATTCTTGCATCCAATAGAATTTGAATCCCCCAAAGAGGAACGCCATTTTGAAAAAGTCAGTAGAGAAATTAAAAACGTCCCTTAACTGCTGCAAATGTACCCGACGATCGTGCGGGCAGTACCTCAAGCGGTTATTTCCCTTCACTACCATCCTCAATGGTTACAGCGCCTTGTACGATTTGCCGTGTGACGTCATTGCCGGATTGACGGTGGGGATTATGCACATTCCGCAAGGTGAGTGGTCTGTGTTGAGCGGGGAGTTGTGACGTCAAATTATTATTTTTTTACACTAGTTGTAAAAAAATGTAGGCTTACGTTATATGTTTTCAGTGACAGCCATGTTTTAATGCTAAAGAGATAGTCGGTCATATGTCTATCAAATTCTGTTGTGTAGTGTAGGTCATTAAAGTAAATGTAGATCAATGATGCAAATGTGCTAAAGTCGGTCAGAAGTCTAACAAATTCTATTGTGTAGTGTAGGTCATTAAAATAAATGCAGATCAATGAGGTAGATGTTAATGTTAAAGAAATAATCGGTCATAGGCCTTTCAAATTCTATTTTATAGTGTAGGCATTTAAATTAAATGTAGATCAATGATGCTAATGTGCTAAAGTCGGTCAGAAGTCTAAAAATTCTATTGTGTAGTGTAGGTCTTTAAAATAAATGCAGATCAATGAGGTAGATGTTAATCCTAAAGAGATCACCGGTCATAAGCCTATCAAATTCTATTGTATTGTGTTGGCGGTTTAAAAAAATTAATGTAGATCAATGATGTTAATTGACATTTTATGTAGGTGTTCTTGCATAAATGTAAAACATACGAGTGGGAGGAATGAATATTCTGAATATTATGAAACTGTACGTCACAGGTCACCTACATTTTAGATGTTCGAACATGTAGGCCAATATTTGATATCTGACCCAGAGCCTAACCTTACCCTTATAACTCTTACCCAAACTAACCCTGGTGTAAGCATACTGATTAGCTTCCAATACCTAAATCTAACCCTGGTCTTAAAGCTGAACTCAAAATTCCACCCTAGCCATGAAACATACCCTATTTAACACCCTGATCCTAAATCTAACACTTATCTAACCTAACCCAGCTTAACATAACTCCAGCACTTCCTATAACCCAAACAACAACCTTGTGTGGTCACCATGAAACACCTGTACATATTGATGTAAAGACCCACGTAATGACCTACATAAAGACCCACGTAATGACCTACATAAAGACCCATGTAATGACCTACATAAAAACCCATGTAATGACCTACATAAAGACCCACGTAATGACCTACATAAAGACCCATGTAAAGACCTACATAAAAACCCATGTAATGACCTACATAAAGACCCACGTAATGACCTGCATAAAGACCCACGTAATGACCTACATAAAGACCCATGTAATGACCTACATAAAGACCCACGTAATGACCTACATAAAGACCCATGTAATGACCTACATAAAGACCCACGTAATGACCTACATAAAGACCCATGTAATGACCTACATAAAGACCCACATAATGACCTACATAAAGACCCATGTAATGACCTACATAAAAACCCATGTAATGACCTACATAAAGACCCACGTAATGACCTGCATAAAGACCCACATAATGACCTACCCCACTGCTTGTCTTGCAGGTATGGCCTACGCCCTACTGACCACCCTGCCACCTGTGTATGGCCTGTACACCTCGTTCTTCCCTGTTCTGGTCTATTTCTTCTTTGGAACATCCAGGCACATATCTGTAGGTAAGTTTTGTTCCAGGCACATATCTGTAGGTAAGTTAAAAGTTCTAGGCACATATCTGTTGGTAAGTTAAAAGTTCCAGGCACATATCTGTTGGTAAGTTAAAAGTTCCAGGCACATATCTGTTGGTAAGTTAAAAGTTCCAGGCACATATCTGTTGGTAAGTTTTGTTCCAAGCACATATCTGTTGGTAAGTTTTGTTCAGGCACATATCTGTTGGTAAGTTTTGTTCCAGGCACTAGGCCAGGCACATATCTTTTGGTAAGTTTTGTTCCAGGCACATATCTTTTGGTAAGTTTTGTTCAAGGCACATATCTGTAGGTAAGTTTTGTTCCAGGCACATATCTGTAGGTAAGTTTTGTTCAAGGCACATATCTGTAGGTAAGTTAAAAGTTCCAGGCACATATCTGTAGGTAAGTTTTGTTCCAGGCACATATCTGTAGGTAAGTTTTGTTCAAGGCACATATCTGTAGGTAAGTTTTTGTTCCAGGCACATATCTGTAGGTAAGTTTTGTTCCAGGCACATATCTGTTGGTAAGTTAAAAGTTCCAGGCACATATCTGTTGGTAAGTTAAAATTTCCAGGCACATATCTGTTGGTAAGTTTTGTTCCAGGCACATATCTGTAGGTAAGTTTTGTTCCAGGCACATATCTGTAGGTAAGTTAAAAGTTCCAGGCACATATCTGTTGGTAAGTTAAAATTTCCAGGCACATATCTGTTGGTAAGTTGAAAGTTCCAGGCACATATCTTCTGGTAAGTTTTGTTCCAAGCATATATCTGTAGGTAAGTTAAAAGTTCTAGGCACATATCTGTTGATAAGTTAAAAGTTCTAGGCACATATCTGTTGGTAAGTTTAAAGTTCTAGGCACATGTCCGTAAGCTACATTTTAAAGTTTCAAGCACATATCTATTGTTAAATTAAAAGTTCCAGCTTGTAGTAGCTATATTTACTGTCATATCCTTTCCCACTGTAAACTTTCTCTACAAGTACCTTTGGTTTTAACCTTAACTCTCACCATAAACTTCTCTAAAGGTAAATTTGGTTCTTATTCCCACTATAAACTTTCTCTTAAGGTACCTTTGTGTATTTTTTTAAAGGTACCTTTGCTGTAGTTTGCCTAATGGTGGGGGGCAGTTGTGGACAAAGGTTACGTCGCCTGGCAGCGCCAGGAACTCCAGGGTGCCATACAAGACATCAACACAGGTCACAACCTCACACATTCCATAGACGGCAGCGTGGTGACTACAGCTGCACCAGCTACCAACAGCTCCGCCTCAGCTGGTTTTGACAACTTCTTTAGGACCAAGCACTTGACAGAGCTGGAGTCCATCAAAGTGGGTTACGCCATGGCCGTGACCTTCGCTGTGGGGCTTCTTCAGGTGAGGAAAGTAGAAAAAAATATTGGAGCTCATTTTTATGTAGAGAACAAGATAATGTTTAACTTAAAAAATAATTGGTTAGAACATAGTTCTTTATAAGAATGAACAATAAAGGTATTAAATAAATATAAAAAATAAAAGTAGCCTACTTTTAAAACTTATTTTTGTACATGTTGCCCTGCAAGTTATTTCAGTTGGGTTTACACTAATTAATTTAAATTTTTAATTAAATCTTTTAAGGTTTTAAATTCAGAATTTTAAATCCACCATTGATAGTTAATCAAAATCTTAAATTAAAAACAAACAACACGTGAATTATATTTTGAGGTTACTGAGTTCACAGTAAAATAGGAATAAAATTGACTACTATCTTAATTCCAATTGTTAAAATGATTTTGCTTTATATCGTCCCCCCCCCCCATTTTTTTTCCCTCCAGGTTTTCCTAGGGTTTATGAGGCTGGGGTTCTTGACGACTTTCTTGTCTGATCCCCTAATCTCTGGCTTCACAACAGGGGCAGCTATCCATGTTTTTTCTAGCCAGATCAAGTCAGCATTTGGGGTCAAAGTTCAGCGCTTCAGTGGTCCTCTTAAATTAGTTTTTGTGAGTTTATAAAGTTTGTTTTGTACTTTTATAGTTATTAGTCCATATTTATAAAAACTATTATTATTCACAGCAGATGAATTGGAATAATTTTTTTTTCCATTATTGTTTCACCAAAAGCAACAATTTGGATTTGCAACAATTTTTACCTCCTCCTTAACCCATTGCTACACCTCATCACAAAAGGCCCCCCCCCCCCCCCTAAATTGACTTACCTCAGCTCACCCACCACTCTCTTCATGAGTTAGGCCACTATTGATCAATTAGAATTTACACATAAGTCTTTTTAATAAGGCAAAACATCTTAAATTTAGTTTCTAACATTACATTTAAAAATGCAAAAGTGTGTCTTCACAAAAAAACTGAACCCCCTATCCACTTTAGGTGTGTGATGTTTTTACGTTCCTACTATTTTAGGCCCAATGCTTGCTTTTTTGTTTTTTCGTTTTTACTTATCCTATAGGCCTATTTCATATCTAACCACAGATCATGGCTTATTAAATTATTTTAAAAAAAAAGAAATGTCATTATGATTTTTCTTATGTCATTGTTGCAGGCTTATCATGATTTTTTCTCCAACATTCAAATGGCTAACGTCGTCACCATGTCCATAACACTGGTCACAATACTCGTCCTTGTAGCTATACGGGAAGGGATCAACAACAACAAAACCTTCAAGGCTAAACTACGGGGTATACCTGTACCTGGTGAGCTGATCGCAGTAAGTTGTGACACTGGATGAATTCTTTACAGGAAATACTGGGTCATGATTATTTTACAAAAAGCTTTGATAAATTCAAATATTATAACTGCTACCATTTTATGTAAGATAATTTTTAAAATAAAAATAAAATAATTGAGTTATTGCCCTTGACAATGAAAATTATTTACAATCCTCTAAAATCTTTATTGAGATCAGTAAAACTTGTTAAAAATAATGTTTGTTCAACCAAAATGTTTTAAAAGAGTGACTTCAATTTTGTCTTAAAGCTCTTTTAAAGGAACTAAAACTGAAATATAGGCCTACGTAAAAAGTAAATAGGATGAATGTATGAGTTAATAAAAAATTTCTTGAAGTAATCGAGCATTTGTAATTAAATATAAACCTACTCTAAACATAAAAAAAAACAACTACAAAATTCACCTAAGAAATTTTGTTAGACTGCTATTCAAATGAATTTCTAATCTTAATAAATGTATTGATAGATTATTAAAAAATGTAAGCATATTCTTATATTCCTTTTAGCTCATTGTTGGAACAATTCTATCCCATCATTTTCATCTACATCGAGAGTTCAATGTGGAAGTCATTGGACACATTCCCAAAGGGTTAGTTTTCAAGGAATATTTAGCAACTTATTAGTTTACCGTATGTTGTTAATTAATAGTTCAAAATGATACATTATCAACAGCATCAATCAATAACATCACTGAACTGAAAACTTTGGCAAAGAAATCTTGGATAACATTATCTAGCTTATAATATTATTAAATAATATCAACTCATTTGTGCCATACAAATAAATTAAAATTAAAACAGAACATTTTGAAATAAAAATTATTGAAGCAAAAAAAGCCTATTTTTTAAAAAAAATATTCAAATTAATTTGAATAAATTTTTGTTTGTTCAACAGTTTCCCCACAGCAAGCCTAACATTTGTAAAATATTTGCCTGATGTCATAGGGGAATCATTTGCCATTTGTTTTACTGCTTTTGCCACATCATTTGCCATCTCCAAAATCTTAGCTGACAAACACAATTACATTGTGGACTCTAATCAGGTGAGAGAACATGGGACAAAAACATCTAGTTGGCCAGATCAGTTTTTGTATCTATTTGCCAACCCAGGGTATATTTCTGTATTGTGGTGTAAGATTAGTTTTACATATAGTTGCCAAGTAAAAGGTTATTTTTTTTTAATGAGATGGCCAGATCATTGTCATATCTAGTTGCCAATTTCATCTGAGTCTAGTTTCTGATATTGGGGTAGCATGTTTGGGTGGTAGAGGTGACAAAATTCAATAACTTGGGTCCAGATATTTTTGATGCCCCTCATCCCCTCCAACATCTGATGGCTACCTGACTTCATTCTGAGAAAGTGAAGGTTACTAAGCATAGTGCTCATCACACAATCCATTATTATTAAAATAAACATTTGTTAAAAAGTCTTTGTCTACCTTTTTTAAAAGACGTAGTACTTTTCTCTTTACTGCTGCTGCTATGGGTTGTTTTGTTTATACGCAAACATTGTTGCTTTTTTTGTAATGAGTGCTTGTTATGTTTCAGGAGCTAATCGCACATGGAGTCAGTAATGTCTTAGGCTCAATGTTCTCATCTTTCTGCAGTGCTGCGTCCTTGTCCAGGAGTATGGTGCAAGATGGCGTTGGTGGAAGAACACAGGTACGTTGTTCTAATATTAGAAGCACATATTTAGAAAATAAATAAATATAAAAGTTTGATGAAGAATCTAGGCATGACCCAACAGCTGAAAATGGCACCAATTTGTTTTGTTAGTAAACTGCTAGGCAGACCTAGTACTAATGCTAACATTTTTAGTTTATCAAATAAAGGTAGTTAGTACTAAGCTCTAAACATGGCTATGTTAGTAAAGTGTAGAGGTTTAAAATCTTCAACAATTGAGAAGATATCAATAATTAAAATATGGAAAGTGTAACTATCATAGCTTGAAAGCTATTAGTCCATACAATTTAGTAAAAGTAATATGCAATTTTTAGTTAAGGTTTAAGGGGAGATAAAAAGCATTGGTTCATTTTTAAATGGACAAGGAGAATGTTACATAAATTATTCTGCACTAGTACATGTAGTCTAAATATGACATCTGGTACATGTCACCTAGACATGACATCCATGACATCTAATACATGAAGCCTAAACCAGACAGACATGAAATGTAGTACATGTCACCTAAATGTAACAGATGTCATCTAGTAAATGTCACCCAAATTGTAAAAGTAAAAGTTTCCCTTTCAAACCTGACGGTCTATGGGGCAAGTGAAGTAGACCCAAATTGTAACATCAATGAAATGTAGTACATTTAGCCTAAATATATCATCTTGTACATCTAGCCTAAACATGACATCCATCACGTCTAGCCTTATTATGACATCTATTATACGTAGCCTAAACATGACATCCATCACATCTAGCCTTATTATGACATCTATTATATGTAGCCTAAACATGACATCCATCACATCTAGCCTTATTATGACATCTATTATATGTAGCCTAAACCCTATCTCCTCAGATTGTCAGCTTGTTCTCTACAGTGCTTGTAGTCATTGTGCTGCTGGCCCTAGGTCCATTGTTTGAAGACTTACCCAATGTAAGAGAATATTTCTTTATATCTTTATTTATTGTTTGATGTTTTTATTGAAAGTTATTTAACACTTAAAGTCTGTTTGTTTATTGTTAAATATATCATGTGTTTAAAACATTTTTTTTTATTAGTAGAGTCAATTTTTCAAACTTTAATTTTACTTTTGAAATGAATGTGTAGTCAGCATGATTGTATACAGATGACTGTATTCTCACCAACTCAAGTCAAGTACCTATAACAGCTGAGCTGACTCCCTACCATTATCTATTTGTGTGTAACAAAAATTGAGAACTGGCTAGAACTTGGGGTGTTTTTGAAGAAAGTTGCTGCATTCTTTTCCTTATAATCCTGGCTTATAAGCATTCAACTTTAAACTCTCAGACCATTGGGGGTTGCACTGTTTGTTTAGTGCATTGTTTTGAGTTGTGATTCTCATCAAATATTTCTGTTCCAGTGTATGATTTGTTTAGTGCATTGTACTTAGCTGAGATGCTCATTCAATATTTCTGTTTCAGTGTATGATTTGTTTAGTGCGTTGTACTGTGTTGAGATTCTCATTCAATATTTCTGTTTCAGTGTATGATTTGTTTAGTGCATTGTACTGTGTTGAGATTCTCATCCAATATTCCTGTTTCAGTGTATGATTTGTTTAGTGCGTTGTACTGTGTTGAGATTCTCATTCAATATTTCTGTTTCAGTGTATGATTTGTTTAGTGCATTGTACTGTGTTGAGATTCTCATTCAATATTTCTGTTTCAGTGTATGATTTGTTTAGTGCGTTGTACTGTGTTGAGATTCTCATTCAATATTTCTGTTTCAGTGTATGATTTGTTTAGTGCATTGTACTGTGTTGAGATTCTCATTCAATATTTCTGTTTCAGTGTATGATTTGTTTAGTGCGTTGTACTGTGTTGAGATTCTCATTCAATATTTCTGTTTCAGTGTATGATTTGTTTAGTGCATTGTACTGTGTTGAGATTCTCATCCAATATTTCTGTTTCAGAGCGTCCTGGCTGCCATTATCATTGTCTCACTCAAGGGATTGTTCTACCAGTTTGTAGAGCTGAAACGACTGTGGAGAGTTTCTAAAGTAGATTATGTAAGTCTTTATATTAGCTAAAAAAAAAACTCACATTACCTAATTTTATGTCAAAATTATCTTTCAGTTAAATTTAATCTCAATAACCTAACGTTATTTAATAACCCAGAAGTTTGCTGATTTAAACATATTAAACTGGCCTTCATATTTTAATGCCCCCTTATGTTGACGCAAGGGCTAAATTTACATGATTAAAAATACAATTTCATCTTACTTCACCTATGTAATCTCCATTCATTCTTGTTCTTAGGTGTGGTGATTTTATTTGTATTTCATTTTTCCTTTCATTATTTAAAGCAATTTTTTTGTCTAAATTTCATTCTGTTTTGAAACCGCTTATTTTTTTAAAGGTGATTTTCCTAATTGTTGATAAATAATTAGTTAGAATGTTTTTGTGTCTGTTTAGCTACCTCTTTGTTGATGAAATAATGGTTTGTGTCATATCTCCATCCCCTAGACTCAGAGGCGTATCCAGGTTTTCGTTGTAGGGGGAGCGAAAAGAGCAAAAAAAGGCGCCGAATTTTTATCAAAAAATTTCTTACATAATAATTCCTGGGAAATTATAAAAGATATGTGAAATAGGGGAAATAATCACTCTCATAATATAAATATGTATATATCTACACAGTTAATTATAAATGTCAAAACAAATAAATAATTACTTTAGAATATAATGAAATTGTTTAACACTATTCGTGTTTACAAAATGTTTTTGTCTATATTCAGAATTTAATAAATCGTCATCATAAATGCTAAGTATTACAGCATAATGAAAGTTTTTAAAATCAAAGTTGATATAAAACCACGCTTTTCTTTTAATAGAACTTGCTCGGAATATTAACACCCTACATTTAACTAATATCGGTCTTTTAGTTCAGATCATCTATATATATATAATTCTCTTCTGTGACACGCTAGAAAACAAGCTGTAAGCGCGCTCCCTACCACCCCCACCCCAACATGGTCTGGTGAGCTGTGGTTCACTCTAAATGTTTACAAACAGAGCCGGGTTTAGTGACAACTATTAGGAGCAGATAATTTAGTTTGAAACGATTTTAAACGTAACTAAGTGGAGTTTACTTTAACGGAGGAGGGGGGGGGGTATCGTCCTTAACAAGCTACTTATAGTGTTTTAAAGAAATATTTTCAGTTGGTAGTGTCGAATTCACAAATTATGAATAACTGAAAAGTAGAAAAAACAACAACTAAATAGCGGCGTATGATATGCCGCGGGTCGGCTCGTATATTTTAATCAACTACTGCTTCTTTGTGTTCTTTAAAGATCATTTTTTAACATAGTGATAGGTATGGGTTAGATCACTTGATTGATCACAAACCTTTTTGCTGGTAATTGCAAAAACAATATTCACACAGTTTTACGTTTAAAAAGCTTATTTTCTGGCGGCATGGTACTTTGGTACATCATTACACGTTTTTCTACATGTACTTAACAGATCAGTTCGGGGTGGGTTGGGGGGGGGGGGGGGTGGGTTCAACTTCATTCACCACTGTCCGTTCACTTTAGGTCAATTATCCAACCCAGTGTATACCTAGGTGTGACATTAATCAATTTAATATTGTCGCTGTACACAATTGTGGTGGTGAGGTGTGTGTGTGGGGGGGGGGGGGGGGGAGAGATAACCAACTCAGAGTGAACATAGCGTCAGTTTTTAGATGACTGTTCTAAACATACATATATATTACACAAATATATATTACACAGATATATATTACAGAAATAGATTTAAATAAGTAGCAGTGGTATTATGACAATATTTTTTACAGAAGGGTCTATGGGGGAGGGGGTTGTAACTGTTTCATTTAATTTGTAATCGTAATCACTATCGCCCAAACTGTAAGAATACTACTACTTCATCGTGATGACGTTGTTGAACTTGTCAAAATGTCCCCACCACTACGCAGTTTGCTCATAAGTAAATTTAAATAGAGGTGCCACATCAGTTGTATTTGTTTCTGTATTGTAATTTTTTAAAAATTAATCACACGATTAAAACTGTATATATAAAGTAATTATGTGTGAAGTTTTATGTATAACATTTTCTAATTCAATTATTCGTAAGCAAATACATTATACAGTTGCCTTAAACTTAACACCCCTCTTGCCAAGTGGTACTACCGTAGAGGTTTTTTAAACATTGCAATGCATCGTAATGGTTATTTTTAGAATGGCAAACTGATGCAGCTGTTAATACGTGTTGTAAACGTAGACACTACTAGACTAGTACAATAATGCTTAATTGCTGCATGAAAAGAAATCTTGTGATTTACATAGGTGTGCCGACCAAAAATATTTTTGTAACAAATATCATTGTTTAAAACTTTGAGTTTAAAAAGTTTCCAAAAAGGCGCCACTTTGCTGAAAATGGCCAGAGGGGGAGCGGCCGCTCCCCCTGCTCCCCCCCTGCGTACGCTACTGCCTAGACTGTTTGGCTTGTGACATTTGTTGATGAAATAATGTTTTGTTTCATATCTCCATCCCCTAGACTGTTCTGCTTGTGACATTTGTTGATGAAATAATGTTTTGTGTTGTACCACCATCCCCTAGACTGTTTGGCTTGTGACATTTGTTGATGAAATAATGTTTTGTGTCATATCTCCATCCCCTAGACTGTTTGGCTTGTGACATTTGTTGATGAAATAATGTTTTGTTTCATATCTCCATCCCCTAGACTGTTTGGCTTGTGACATTGGTTGATGAAATAATTAGAATGTTTTGTTTCTTATCTCCATCCCCTAGACTGTTTGGCTTGTGACATTTGTTGCCACTGTTTTGCTAGATGTGGACCTGGGACTTTTGATTGGCCTCATCTACAACTTGGTGCCCATTCTTTTACGCACACAGGAGTGAGTAGTTATGTGTAGTAGTGGGGGCCGTTTGGTGTTTATCATGGGTTAGAGGGGAAGGGGGGGGGGGTATAAGGTACTTAAGAAAGGTGTTTTCAATCTTAAATTCTTTTGGGTGAAAAATGCATGGTCGTAGAGTGATGAGGAGGAGAGAGGAAGTGAGGGTTGGGGCAGATGGGGGGGGGGGGGGAATGCAGTAAGTCCATACACCAGTTACATAGTCCATATGTTGATTGATAAGCTAGCATTAAACAACAGCAATCTAAATCAATAATTGATCATTGTATTGATTATTTACAGAAATGTTAATGTAATATGATTTGATAATTAGTCTGAAAGAAGTTTTGGCTTTGTAATATTAATTAACCAGCGTAAATTTGAGAATTTTTTTTCATTTTGTTGTTATCTTCAGGCCATACAGCTGTTTACTAGGCCATCTTCCCAATACAGATATCTATGTGGACATGAAAGTTTACAGGGAGGTAAGTTATCTATGTGGACATGAAAGTTTACAGGGAGGTAAGTCATCTATGTGGACATGAAAGTTTACAGGGAGGTAAGTCATCTATGTGGACATGAAAGTTTACAGGGAGGTAAGGTATCTATGGGGGGACATATTACAGGGAGGTAAGTCATCTATGTGGGCATGTTACAGGGAGGTAAGTTATATATATGGACATGTTACAGGGAGGTAAGTCATCTATGTGGACATGAAAGTTTACAGGTAGGTAAGTCATCTATGTGGGCATGTTACAGGGAGGTAAGTTATATATGTGGACATGTTACAGAGTTATCTGTATAGACATATTTGTTGTCCAGATTCTGGAAATTAGACAAGATCAGAACAGAAATTTAAATCTTGAGATCTTAAGAAATACTGTGACACCATTGTCTTGCCAATTATCATGAACCACAAGTAAATTTAATCTCTGCAGGCTGTACCAGTACCTGGAGTTAAAATCTTCAAATTTGAGGCACCACTGTATTTTGCCAACATGGAAAACTTCAAGGCAGCGCTGGTGAAGGCAACAAATGTTGACCCTCACTATATGAAGATTCTCAAGGAGCAGATGAAAGATACAGATATGACTTTAAGGCACAGTGAGGTGAGTGATGGAGACATGACTTTAAGGGACAGATATGACTAAGAGACAGACATGGATTTAAAGGACATACATGACTTTAATGGACAGACATGGATTTAAAGGACATACATGACTTTAAGGGACAGACATGACTTTAATGGACAGACATGACTTAAATGGACAGACATGACTTAAATGGACAGACATGGATTTAAAGGACATACATGACTTTAAGGGACAGACATGACTTTAATGGACAGACATGACTTAAATGGACAGACATGGATTTAAAGGACATACATGACTTTAAGGGACAGACATGACTTTAATGAACAGACATGACTTAAATGGACAGACATGACTTAAATGGACAGACATGGATTTAAAGGACATACATGACTTTAAGAGACATACATGACTTTATTGAAAGTCATGTAAGTGATCTAGGTATGACTTTAAGGGACATACATGACTTTAAGGGACAGACATGACTTTAAGGGACAGACATGACTTTACAATATAGTGAGGTGAGTGATGCAGACATGGCTTCAAATACAGTCATAATTTTAACACAAAAACATGACTTAGATACAAAATAGACATTAAGACAGAAAATTATTTAAAACTACACCTACACAAAGTGAATGATTCAGACATGACTTAGAGACATAATGAAATAATTCTAAGATTCTGCTGCTTCATAAAAATTATCACTTCTTTTTTATAATTACCTGTCCTTCTTACTTCAATAAAAAAAATACCTGAATTACTCTTTAAAAGAATGAGTCAAAGTTTATGCTGTAGGCTTGTATGGCCACTTGCCACTGTTTATGCCATTGTAATGTTCTTTCCTCCCCTGTAGGTCTGTATGGCAGCTTCTGGCAGCTGGACAGAGGACCCATGTGAAAGCCACAATCATGGTCGACCATTGGGATCTAACAATTTCTCCCCAAACTGTGAGACCTTTGCTATAATAATTGATGGGTCAGCCATTCAATATGTGGACAGTGTCACAGTCAGGATATTGAAAGATGTAAGTCAGGTGTTGATATAAGGGTCAGAATATTGAAAGATGTAAGTCAGGTGTTGATATAAGGGTCAGGATGTTGAAAGATGTAAGTCAGGTGTTGATATAAGGGTCAGGATATTGAAAGATGTAAGTCAGGTGTTGATATAAGGGTCAGGATATTGAAAGATGTAAGTCAGGTGTTGATATAAGGGTCAGGATGTTGAAAGATGTAAGTCAGGTGTTGATATGGAGGTGAGGTTATTGAAAGATTTAGTGTTAATGATAGGCCTCACATATTATTCAGAATATTTTTTGTAGATGCAGTTAATGAATGATGTTTGAGAAGTACAACTTGGATATGTATTTCATATTGTTTTGAAATGCAGAAGTGTTGATAAATGTACACATTTTGCTGATTATGTTAATTGATGTTTCTTTTTTTTTTTTTGTCGGTATCAGGTTGTGTTTAAAAATGTGTATTTTTTGTTTTGAGATTGTGTTGATTGATGTGTTTTTTGTTTTGAGATTGTGTTGATAATAGTATATTTTTGTTTTAAAATTGTGTTGATAAATGTGTATTTTTAAAGTTTTAGGTTATTTTGATAAAAGTGTATTTTTTTTAGATTGTGATGATAAATGTACATTTTTTAGGTTTTAGGTTATTTTGAAAAATGATTTTTTTTGTTTTCAGATTATTTTGATAAATGTGTTTTTCTTGTTTTCAGATTGTGTTAGAATACAGAGATGTAGATATTGATGTTTATCTTGGAGAGTGTAAAGGTATGTGTTGTTGTTTGTGCATACACTATCAGCTTATAATTTAATTTTTAAAAATCTGGCTATGGCTTTTCACTTTTTAAGTATAACTAAATGTGAAAATCTCTCTTAAACCTAACATTTGTTCTCAACATTAATGTAGAGTATGTTTGAAAGTGCAAACACATAATTAAATTATGTTGTTCTATGTACTGACAGCGCCGGTGCGTATTATGCTGGACAAGTCTGGCTTCTACAACCATGTGTATAGAAGAAATGTCTGCGCCACCATCCACCATGCTGTCCAAGTGGCACAGAAGAGTGCTGCAATGTCAAGAGAGGTAACTCTTATTTTTTTAAATTCATTTTTTTAAACGGGGGGGGGGAGGGGGGGGAGAGAACTCAATGTATTTTTTTTTTAAAGATATAAAGACTAAAAAATGATCTAATTTCTTTTCTGTTGTTTCTTTTTCAACTTTATTAAAATTTCTGTTTCTAACAAAAGATAAAATAACAAAAGGGTTTGTTTGATGTTGTTATGGTAACCACTGTTGATATCTTTGAGCAGACTATAGCCAGTACATTCACCATGGCGCCAGAGGATTTCCTAAAGGACGGAGAATTTGTCAAGCTGGAGATGGAGAGCTCAGCCGAATCCGTGGATAAAATAGTGGCCGAGATCAACCCTAAAACACCATGAATCACAAAGTCTCAGGCTCTCTCACCACTCAAACACCATGTGTCACCATGAAAATATTATGAATAAACTAACACTAGCCACGAGGCTGTGTCACCATTATAAAACCATGAATCAACCATGGTCACCACTGAAACACCACGAATCAACGATCACTACCTTTAAGGCTGTCACCACTGAAACACCATAAATCAACTAACACTAGCCTTATGGTCATGTCACCTTAAAAAGCACCATGAATCACAATCATCAGGAGCAGGTGTTGGTGCAAAAGACTTACAAAAGACTAACCACACAATTCTAGTTATTTTAAGTTACTTTTCAAGATCTCAGTGATTTCAGTTTAGCTTTTCAAAAGATCATTACAACTGTAAAATAACGAATATTTCCAAGACATCGACTGGTTCAATTAAGTGTCTTAATTATGTTAAACAGTTTCCTTTTTTAAAATACTGTTTGAATGTTCTTTATGTAATGATAAAAGAAATTTTGTAAAACGTGGTATTAAAATTTTCCCCCTCTGTTATTATGTTTTTATATAGTATATAAAATGTCATTTAAATTTTAACTTGCAAATATCACTGTGCGATTTATGATACTCTATGTAATGACCTTAAAGTCTTAAGTTAAATATTATGTGTGAGATTAAATCAATAATATTTTAGAAAATGTAACTGTATTGAAGTAGATCCTACATATTTAATTGTTGTATATAGACATTGCCATGTATAATGTAACGTTGAGTTGTTGTTGTTAAAAAATTTATCTGACCATAAATTAATGTATAATTGATTTGTTAACTTTGATTAACTAACATGATATGATAACATGTGTTGTGTTTTGGGTTGATCCAGTGTTGTCAGTGTTGAAACTAATAGACCCTACTTAACGTTGGTTAATGGTATTTCATCTTAGTAAGAGAAACAGTAGTCTAATTTCTTTTAATCACATAAATCACATTGTAATTCTTGGTAATGAAATGTCCCCATATGTTTAGCTAAGTAAACATTTTTTCTTTTCATAGTAATGAACTTAATGTATAACCTTATCTTAGAGTTCATAATTAATTAAATTGAATCTACTCAGACCAATCCATTTAAATTATCTCCCTCTATTAATAAAACTTTGACAAACACTACAGTTTACTTTTGCTGTGTTTAGTGTAAGGGTTAGGTAGCATGTTGCCTTTGTATCAATTGTAAATTATAGAAAATTTTAGACTCTAGGCAGCTGTTAACTGTAGACAAACTAGAGATGTATTTTTTTCTATGCAGCACTTTGTTCCCATGCACATATTACATGTTCCAAAAACCCTTGCTGTAATATAAGAAAATTTCTCTAGATTTTTGTGATGTCTATGCTTTTTACATCTAGCTAAGTAATCATGCTCATTTTTTTATATAAGCCACACATGATTACTGAAATGATATAAATGATTAATATATTAAGATGAATAAAGAGTTGGAATGATATAAACTAATGTGGGTTCACTGTTAATGAACTTTAACAATCTATTTTTAGCGCCATGTTAAAGTTTAGAAAACAACAATTGTTCATTATCAAAGTGTAAGTAGAAATGTGTAAAATACTTTCTGAAACAAAGTCCTTGTATGAAACGTTCAGTTGGCCTGTGTGACTCGGACTACGAACATCTAGAGTGAGAACTTGTTTTACAGTTACCATATCCGTATCGATCTGCGTAAAAGTTTGCCTTGGGGTCCGAACGACGATTCGAGTTACGAATCAAATTGCATGTCGCCATTAATACCGACTGGTCTGTAGACAAAAGCATAACTAGCGAGAAATCGCAATCATCCAGTGATGATTTTAAGGGTCGTTCACATTAATGAAAATTGTAAGGGCTGTTCACATCATAGGCTACAACATAAAATGTAAATTTAAATATATTTTAATCTTAATCCATTACCTCTTATTACGTTATAAACATTTCCTACACCCTCATCCACATATTAGGCCCATATTTCATTACAAAGGCTACCCCTGCCTGTTCCCTTTCTCAAAAACCATGACACATTTTGTTCTACAAAATCTTGTCTTTTAAATACATTCTAATCGTTTCGCCTTCATTTATAAAAGCTGTTGAGCACTTTTATGTTAGCAAATTATTTTATAGATAGATGTAAGTCATGCGTGTTAACCATGCTAAATATAAAAAAAGATTACACAAAAACAAGTAAAAGCTTACTTTATATTAAATTATCTCACAACTAAATCCAAAAAGAAAAGCAGGCTGAAATCGGAGTCAATGGCCTCAATGGCGCATAACCAGTTGATACGTAACGCTTAATTGTGTTGGAGGCGTGGTCGAGTCGGCAAAAAGCTCATGGTTATAAATTCGAACAAAGTCTCGAGTTCAAACCCACTGGCAGATAAATCTCGATCCCCTTCAACACTAATAATTAAGAACGAAGAAGATGAAGATCTCACAACTGACCTAATATATTAATATAATAACATACGATAAAAATATAATAAACCCTCACCCTACCCCTTACTGTTAAAATACGTGCTCAATAGCCAAGTCGTTGTAGTGAAAGGTCATTGTCCGCTTTTGGTTGTTGCTGTTTTATTGTTTTACATGGTCAGTTTCTTCACATGACTTTAACTGACATTGCTGGTCATTTCTGGTTCTTCTATTACAATGATATGATATGGACAGCATGAAGCACTGTGGACACCTGTAGCGAAATACGAGGCAGCAGCCCATAGACAAAGACATGAAACCCATCAGTGGGTTAAACATACACTGAGAAGAATTGAAGAGAATATTATCAAGCAGGCACTAGACTGGAATCCGCAGGGAAAAAAAAGGAAACACCAAGAAAATTCTGGAGAAGGGCTATAGAAAGTGAAGTAAGGGCTGGAGGACTAACATGGAATCTACTAAAGAGGGCCGCCAAAAAACTGAGTGTTGACAAGTAGAGTTGCAGCCCTTTGCTCCACCAGGGCTTCAAAGATGTCAAGCATGAGGTAGTGACTGTTATTTAATTCTTATGCGAGTAAAAAGTGAGTAGAGGTAATTGGTAATAGCGTGTTGTGTGTAGTGTAACAAACTAAAATCCTATCTGACCCACTTTTTAAGAAGTGGGTCAACTGCCCACCAAAACACGAGCAAGATCAAACAGGTGTGCGGTTCATCTAGCGCGATAAACACAACATGCTGAAACAGGTATAACACATTTAGTGAAAATGTCCGCGCTTTGTTTTCATTCACTGTGGTTTTCATTGATCTCCGCTAGTTTACTGAATGGGGTGGGGAAGATGTTTTTAAAGTGAAAGCCCATTTAGCTTTCTATTTAATCACAATACTCCAAATTAAGCTTTTTTAATCAATAAGACACTAGAAAACACTTTGTAACTGATATCGCAAAACTAATTTATTATGTAACTCTGATGAAGAGGTTTCATCGAAACAATTTGAAGTTTCGTTTTTCTTTTATTGATGTGTGATTCTTTTAAAATAAAGAAATGAAAAGATAAAAATAATTTAAAAAAAAAAACATTATTTTTAAACTTCAAGGTCTATACGCGTAAAAAAATAACATTTGTTATTAACTAAGTTGTTACTTTTATTTGCAAATTATTTTTTGTAAAAAAATTTGATTCTTTTCATCTAAGAAAAAAATCATATTTTGTGCAGTTTGGCGGGAAAAACACGTGAATCAGATAGCATTAAAGACTACTTCTTTCATATAGCACGAATCAATTTAATCTTTATCTGTGGATTTTATTTTTCCCACGCATTAATTTTTTCCCCGCACAGCCCGTAGTCAACTTACTACCATCATTACACAGGATTACTATTTTTATGTCGTACCTGGATTTATATTTTAAAATGTTATGCTCATCGGCTTTGTTTCAGTCCATACAAAGTTTAAAATTTAAACCAAATAGGTGCTTGACGTCAGCACCTTTTGCCATAGCTCCATGACGTATCGCAAAGTTAACTCAGCAACCATGTGTTTCCTAGTGCGTCTTTGTTTACCATTTTGAACTATTCGCAATGACGACATTCATCATACTTTGGCCATTATGTTACAATGGACACCTTCTCCTCAGATGACCCTTCTAAATTACAAGAAGAAATTTCACAAGGGGACGATAGCCAAGGAGAAACAGTTGTCCAATCGCGTGAAGAGACTTCACATGGCCATAAGGTTACTGGCTCCCAAAGTAGTATTGATTCCGAAAAAATCGGCGATAGCAGACGGCGCGGAACGGCACCTCGCTCGAAATCCTTTCTAGAAGAACCGTCACGGTCGAAGGCTGTAGTGTTTATGCAACGTAAACCCGGGGGGAAGGGGAAACTGATTCGATCCACACACGGTTCACACGGGGATGGTGTCTGTACCGGAGCGTCATGGGACAGTAGCAAAGGGTGAGTTGACTAATAATTAACGCCTTAACTATCTTTACCTTAATTACCATAGTTAAGACTACGTTTTCAATACTAGAAACGGAAAGTTACCGTTTGTATTTTTCGTGCAAATATCTCGTCCTTTTAACCTTCCATCAACTTACATCTAACCTTGTAAGCTTTTTTAACTTCATTCATAAGTTTTGTGTATAGATTTCTACGTATTTATAACAATACGAAACTAAAAGCTATGCATACAATCAACATTACTAACACTATTGTACACTAGGAAATATACGACTAATAATAGGAAATTTGGAAGTTTATGTTAAAAATAAAATACTAAATCAATTGGGTCTTAACAAGCCATTTATTCAGAAATAAATCATAACTTATTATATGCACACGTTTGTTTATACGTTGAGCATTATCTTTATAGTAAACGACGTTTATTGCGTAAAAAATACCTGTTACTTGCAAACAGCTTTGAGTAAAAAATGAAAAAGATCTAGATCTACCGTTTAATCTTTTGAAATGTTTAAAATATATTTTTCTTGGTCCTACACACACTATACCATTTTACGATGGAATAGTGTGTGTATTTTATAGTGTGGCTGAGCATGTGCAGCCTTATTTTTTAAGATATGAACATTGTTGTTTGTTAAAATGCTTAATGTAAAATTTGTGTATTGAATGGGTGGCGTCAAAGCGCTAATAACTAATTCAATTGTTATTTTGCTCACATAATAATTCCACCATTGCTAGGAGATGTCGATTCACTCAATAAAACGCGGGAGTTTCTGGCATTTTTCGCGCGAGTAAAAAGAATGAAGGGGCACCTGTTTTATGCAAGATAAAAATGCGTGCTAAACAATAGCCTAATTGGTGCGCATTTCATAGTAAATGCACACTCTTTGGCATACCATTAGGGCATATTTCGGGAATTCCCTGTAACTAGTACCCAAAGTGACGTGGTCACATACGTCATTGCGCGTTGCCCCTTTCACTTTGTGAACCTAAAGAGTTCATATCTTCTCTAGTTTTCCGTTGGAATAGATCATTTTATCCGTCATGTTTTATAAAAAGCAAATGATATTAGCCAGCCGCATGTGTTAGGGTACATCTCTTCATATTTATCTGTCATCGTCAGATTAGCTCTGAGCGAATCAGCTGACAAAGGCGGCGACCAGCAGAAGAAACTTCAGGTAGGGGTCGGCCATTTTATATTTTTGATTCCGATACTTTCATTAACAGAACGGGGTACTTGTTTCATACTCACGTGGACACAAGATGTAGTCACTTTCTTGAAGTAAACCGAATGTAATGAAATTGGAAATCAAATTTGAAACATCAATTTGTACTGAATCGCCTAGAATGAAATCTTTTTGTTTTTATATTTATGTTAGTGTTTATGTAAATCAAGTTAATTTTCAGAATTGAATACTAATTGTAGCCTTATTGAGATTTTGATTAAAGTGCCACTATTTTATAAGCCTAATATTAAATATTTACTTTAAAAGGTGAGTTAGATTAATAGCTGACTTGAAGATGTGTTAAATAGTTGTGAAAAATATGGTGACGATTTGACATCATGGCTCACTCGTCGGTTAGCCATACCACATTCAGGCAGCTTATATCGCAAGTAACCATTGCCACTTTAAATTTGTTTAACCTTCAACCTTGGTGCTAATCATAAACACTGAGCTAACATTAAGCATAAGCCTAAAGCAGAACGAACTTCAGTTTAACGTCACCGTTATTGGCTATACTCATGGATTTAAATATGTGGATACTAGTTTACTAGAAACTACTTATGGATTATCAATAAAGAGTAGATACTACCTATGGATAATCAATAAAGAGTAGACTATCATTGTGGGTTTTCGTGCACACGTAGTTATAAAACTTTGTTTACCACATTAAAACATCGTGTGCATAGTGCTTATCATTTCTTAGGCAATAAGCCCATTAGTTTAAAACTATTTCTCGCTTTTTAAAACTTCAGATTGTTATAACTGATAGTTCGATTCAAGCTGCTGGGGTAACACAAAAATTATTCGATTCCAAAGTGTAAGTTTATCATTTCTATTGTTATCATTTCTTTATTGGATTAGCCGTTACAATCCCTATCGAGGCTAACCCTTATCCCTAAATTCGTTTGATAGTTGAAAGCACGCTTAAAAGCTTATCGAAGCTATTAGCTTTCACTGACTTGATACCTGTCCCTGATACATCTTATAACCCTGACTTTAGCTCATTCCAATCGCGTGAAGAGACTTCACATGGCCATAAGGTTACTGGCTCCCAAAGTAGTATTGATTAATTAGTTTTGCAATATCAGTAATATGATCCTGACTTTAGCTCCTTCTCTAACTTTAATTTTAGCCATGGCCCTAACTGTGATAGGGGCATAGAAATGAATTCTTATCTAATACTGTAACAGCTTTTAATGTTCACAAGATCTACATGTACACAGCCCATGCAATCGGTACATAAGTCAGCAGACCGTATTCGGGGTTATAGTTATGCTAGTACCGCTGCCCTAATCCTATCTAAAACCTAACGTAGATTGGACCTTAACCCTGATTCTAGCTTATGCACTAACCCTACTAGCCCTAGTCCTAATTTAAATCTGGACCTGAGTCTAACCTGGACCCTAACACACACTCTGTAACCTTCCTAATCTTATACTTCACATCGGGAATTGCGTAAAAACATATAAACAAAGTTAGCTCTTTGACAAAATCCTATGTCCATTCTTTCATATCCCCATCAAACGGCATTACTGTGGCAGAAAAAAATGTAAGCCTGTGAAATATTTGTGCCATTCATGTTTATATCAACAAGCCTAATCCATATGTTCTTAAAATCGTTATAATTAATAACAGTTAACCCCACAGGTTAGTGATATAATTAGGGCTACGATAATGGCCAGTGCTAGAACTATATTTAACAGCGAAGCATCCTAATTTGAAATACTAGGTAAACGAACACGTAATAAATATCCTTTAAAGGATAAGAACAATTAAGTTAAGCGACGTGTGTATTTTGCTTACATTCGTTATTTTTCCCCAGAACTTTTGCCGATTTGGTGCGCGTTTGCTCCCCACAGGAGAATAATCAGCAGACGACAAAAGTTCAGCTTGGCAACACTCTTCTGTCGACAGCACATGCCAGCACCCTCGTCTCGAACTATTTAAACACGTGAGTCTAGTGCCAGAACTCTGTTAAGGTTACCCTCAACCAAAAGCTGATTGTTTCCGAATAGCCATGCTACCCACGTGAACGATGTGGTCGAATGGTAGAGCATGCGACGAAACCCGAATGTCTCGAGTTCGAATCCGGGTACGTGTCAGTAGAACGTTTCTTGATTCCACAGAGTTCTGATGGGTACCAGAGAGACTTAGGGAAAGTAAAGGTGGCTGGTCATTGTGCAGACAACTCTTATCTTTTTTATATGCCGAGTTAAACTAAAACTGGTGAACTCTACTTCACCTGCCCTCTGCCCGTCAGACCCGAACGTTACTTTACATTATGCCCATGTGACCGTTGAGCTAATATCTCCGAAATCGCAACTCAAATTCTAAACTTTTGTATCACCTAAACCCTTATCCTAATAACTAGAAATGACTAAATTTAAACTCACAAGCTCAAATTGTTTAATTTCCAATCAATGATCCCAGTTTAAAATAATCCACCTCTGATTAGGCAGTAAATATATCATATCGAATTTACATTTTTTTCTCACTTTTTTTAAGGTCATTATTACGTTTATAATACGACTAGAGTCAGAGCAGGGATAGGTTCATATCTAGGGTAAAAACCAGGGTTAGAGTTGTACAAAACCATACCCTCGAATACGTTAGGACCAAGTTTTAATAAGCACAAGCGAAATGAATCCCCTCAGCGGAAGTTTTTTTGACAAAAGCTGTGTTGGCTTTATTAAGTCATGTTCCTATAATAAGCATTGAAAATTCTATAGTATTGGCCATGTTCCAATCAGGACTATGTTCAATAATAATGTAAGTCATGCACCTACAACAATTATGTTGACTTCATAATTCAAGTCATGCATCTATAACTATAATCTTGGCTTTATGATTTTAGTCATGCTCATATAAGAGCTAAGATTACGCTATGAGTTAAGTCATGCTCATATAAGTGCTAAGATTACTCCATGATTTAATTAAGTCACGCTAATATCAAAGCTTTAGCAGCTGATCTACAGTCAAGAGATCCCATACCATTCTAACGATCACTACTTATAATTTAAAAACACAGGTATGTTTTATCAAATCTGTTACTAGTATCACAATGGTAAATTTTGCTTTAGCCTTCACCTAAACGTATATCATTGACCTGACCTTGACCCTATCAGCGATATTGACATACTCAGTATTGTCTTACAACCATTTTCCCCAGAATGCCTAGAACTAAACCAAATACCTTCATAGTAGCTGTCTGGCTTAATGCATTTAACCATTATCCCGCGTTTCTTTAATCACAATTATCGTGTTTCAGATAATAATCTGTTGATTGAAACTCCACAGATATCGATCTCCTATAATAATGTATACGTTTCTTTATTACAATTAAAATAAAATATGTTCAAGATATAATGTTTTGATTGAATCTCCACAGATATCGGTCTCCTATAATAATGTACATGGGTCTTTAATTATAATTAACATATGTTTAAGATATAATGTTTTGATTGGAACTCCACAGATATCGGTCTTACCTTGATCAACTGCGCAAGACATGTGGTCGTGGAGACAGCCTAGGCGAGGCGATAAGTTCAAGAACAGCAACCAAATCCGTTCCACTTGTTCTGCCCCTTGCTCGGATGACTCCGGTATTCTCCGATGATTCACGAGAAGACCCGGAATTCCTCGAGCTGTTGAAAAAAACGACGACCGAATCGATACGAAAACTCTGGCCACACCCGAACAAAACGAACATTGTACGCAAGGCAGGTTTGGCAGAAGTCAGCGATCGTGTGGAGGCGGTCAAGTCAATGCCAGTGAACTCCACTGATACATCACTCGTATCAGACGACAAAACTGACCAGCAGACGGATGACTCATCATTGACGGAACCGAGCGACACTTGTGATGACGGAGAATTTAAAAACGACGACCTAAACACGACAGACGAGGACACGACACTCACCGACTGCGAACAGTGCCCTGTTTATACAAACAGTCTTCGCTTAGGGGACGTTGACACACCTATTTCTATGAATAGTTCAAACCATAGTATGAAATCTTCGGGCGAGCCACTCGTTTTAGGGGATGGCGGCTCTACAACTATCATCAACAAGACAGCCGTCGGGCCAATTCAAAAAGGCTTGTTGAAACTTCCAAACGATACTTTAACCGCAGGCGACAATTTTTATCGACATTCCACAGACGCTAGTACTGTTCCTAGTTGGAGCGACGCCACCCAACAGAAAAGTTTCAGTGACGTCACCGCCCAGCAGTCTAAAACTTCCATCGATGTTTTTCTAAAACACCAACAAAAACTCTTACAGCAGCAACAGCTCCAGCGGCAAATTTTACAACACCAACAGCAGCAGCAACAGCAGCAGCAACAACGACAACAGCAACAGCAGCTGCTGGAGCAGTACCAACAGGAACAACAGCGCCAGCAGCCAACAGCAGCGCAGACGAGCAACAAAGCGTATGGGTTCCAGCCCAACGACCAGTCGAAAAACTGGTACCCAAGTATAGGTGGCGGGAGTGGTTCAACGTCACCAAGGTCAAGGCTGACCTCCAGCTCCCAGTCCTCATCATCCTATGGTTCTGGCACCATGGCGTCAGGTCAGATGGGACTGGATGTTTTCGGAAACACGAATCAGGTACTGTTTTAATTTCAAATGTTTTTTTTCTTAATAATGGCCAATAACTCCGAACTTATTTTAACGTCTTAAAATTTTCAGTTACCCCTCTTAGGTTAGTTTTTGTAGACTGTTTAATTTTGTTTGTGCGAAGGTCTGCTATTTAAAAAAAAAAACCTCTAGTTATATATTAATCGTAAGCTCTTAATTTCATTAATTTAGCTGAGACATAATAAAATAAAACGTATTTCGAAATAACTAGACGCATAGTTTTGAAATTCAGTGAACTATTTTGCAGTGTTCTAACAAAAGCCCATCTAAATAACCTGTAAGTTTCAACTCTATGGACCCTAAAGAGACGATCTTAGACTTTATTTGTGACAATCGATATCCCTATTTAGAACAAGATTAACGTACAATCGTATAAGAAAGTAATGTCCTTATCCATAGTATTTGACTGTAATCCAGACAACGTTTAATAGATAGAACCAACCTTCGTTTATATATGTACATTTTTACGTCAAGTAACAATAGTAACATTTTTGAGTCACTACCTAATGAGGGATGGTGTGGTCAGCACTATGCCCAGCCGCCTTCTCTTTCTCTAACATGGACTCGAGTACATACAACTGATTTGAACCTCGATTCAAACCCGAGACTTTCGTGTTAGCAGTCTAGTGCTCTAACGCTTAGCCACGGCGTTTCCCCTCCCACTTTTTAAAAACTTGAGCAAGATTCTTCCAGAATCACCTCGACCAATAGATCCTAAATAGCACCATTTCTGCTATTTCAGATGAGTTCTGATTACTTCCCCTCCAACAACATGCAAGGGCTGTCTTCCATTGGTTCCTACATGGACCAATCAAACTCTGGCTTTTCTGAGATGCCCACCTCTAACCGGACTTTAAAGGTCAACTTTTGATTGGGGTTTTGTTTGATGGGGTCGTTTGGATGGGGTCAACATACCAGGGGTCCAAATTTATTTTTTTGGGGATATAAATTATTGGGGGTAATGTTTAACTAACATATTTAGTTATAATCCAACATTAAATCAAAATAACTGTAGCTTCTAATGTAATAGATGACTAATTAAAATATAATGTTTGTCATGGTGGGGAAGCATACAATATATGTTTACAAAGCTATGCAGTTTACAATTTTTATTTCTTTACCATACTAGTGCAATATAAACACAGTGAGTATACATTTATTTTATAATTTAATCCACGTTGTGAACAGGTTAGCACGCTTTCTGCGCTTTTTTAATGCTAGTATCCTATCCTAACCATATAAATAGCCCTAACCCTAACCCTAGCCCTGACCATCATCTACCTCTATTCGAAGCCGTTGGCCTAACCAATGTAAAAATTCAATCTAACAGAGGTACTAGGAAAAATCCCGATATGAAAATATGATTGTAGTCATGTGAACTTATGTATTTTTATATATTAAATGAAAGCGTTGCTTAAAATAATACATAAACAATGCTCTTAATAAACAAGTTTTACCTTTTAAAAAATAAATCAAATTTAGAATACACCCCTTTTTAAAACAATCTTCCACAGGCTAGCTATGCCTGCCTTGACCCTAGCAACCGGATGACCTTGTCCGTGGAGTCGCTCCACGACTACCCCAGTGACCAAGAATCCTACCTCAGCTCAGGGGAGCTCTCCCAGCAAGAACGACAACCCTACGGCGGCTTCAACCAGCCCTTGGACGACAAGCCCAGCTGCTCCGATACTAGCCGCTCCTGGGCCGAACTCTCAAGGCCTATGTACGAGAACGAGGTCAACGCTACTGCCGGGTTGACCATCGAAGAACGTCTGAGGCGGGCCTATGCTCGGTCTCGCGCTGGTCAGATTGGTCAGAACGGGACGTCATCAGACACATCCCGACCTACTTTAGACGCTTCTAGACAATCGGTACAACGTCCCATCTTGAAGATTAACCCAGTGGTGGAGAATTCTCAAGAAAGTCCGACTTTTAACACCTCGACCAATCAAAGAGGATTTGAACTCATTAACCGCAGTAATGGAGACAGCGGGTTGGAGGATTACAACTCACGTTACCGCTGGAATAGTCTGACCAATTGTTCCCTCAACTCCGAGCCTGTAGAAAACACGGGTCTCAGAACTGATACCACGGACAGTTTCATGCACATGCAGTCATCAATGGCAGCAGATCAGGGGTCGCGTAAGTAGGCCAATTTTTTTACACTCATGAACTATATTATTTCATAGACTACTTTGTTGCTTTATATAGTATTCCTACGCTTTAAGTGTAAATAAAAATTTTTTTGTCTATACCTTAATACCAGGGGTCTCCAAACTTTTCAGTCCGAGGGCCACATTAACTATCAAATTTCAGTTCGGGGGCTAGTTTCTTCCAGGCATGTTTTTGATTTTTCTGGGCCACGTTCCTCAGCCAGCACCAACAAACGCTTTTTTCCTGGACAAAAATATCTCCGCGGGCCGGATAAGAGGACCTCGCGGGCCGCATCCGGCCCGCGGGCCGTAGTTTGGAGACCCCTGCTTAATACCAACGCAATGGTCTATCCGCTATTCCCAAACTTTAACTTTACTCAATAGAGTTGTGTGGTCAGTTCATTTCCGATTTTAGTTAACGATACCTATAGATATATGGCATATCCATCATTCCCTCGCCTTGTTAACTGTACCTAATGGAATTTTGTGATCTTTTTACCTTTCTTTTTCACCCTTGGCTATTTTATTATTTCCTACATGACCCAATGTTTTTTTTAAATAAGTTCTTTGGGTTTTTAAAGTTGAGAATTGGCTCTGTAATATTGTCACCTTGTTTGTTTATGTTCTCGTTCATTGTATCATCTAAGCTGTTGTCTAAGACGTATAGAAACAGATCTATTGATAGTGTTATTGTCGCTTTTATTCATGCCTTCAAGTTATTTGGGTGCTAAGGATTTGTGCAGATAGTATAAGATATACATTTTTGACATTTCTTGCCCAGACAAAACGTGACAATTTAAAACTAGACAAACCATGTGACAATTTTAACATAGACAAAACATGTGACAATTTTAACACAGACAAAACATGTGACAATTTTAACACAGACAAAACATGTGACAATTTTAACACACACAAATCATGTGACAATTTTAACCAAGACAAAGCATGTGACAATTTTAACACAGACAACCTATGTGACGATTTTAACACAGACAACCTATGTGACAATTTTAACACAGACATAACATGTGACAATTTTAACACAGACATAACATGTGACAATTTTAACACAGACATAACATGTGACAATTTTAACACAGACATAACATGTGACAATTTTAACACAGACATAACATGTGACAATTTTAACACAGACATAACATGTGACAATTTTAACACAGACATAACATGTGACAATTTTAACACAGACAACCTATGTGACAATTTTAACACAGACATAACATGTGACAATTTTAACACAGACAACCTATGTGACGATTTTAACACAGACATAACATGTGACAATTTCGACCCAATATTTATTTAACCTGTTAGAGGACCAACAATCATCATACAACACATCTAGGTGGCATCCTATCCTGTCCCCAAATCATGACACAATTCTGTTAACTCCTATACTAATCCATTCTTTATCTTACCTAAAGAGCTGTTTTGTTAATCCCTCTACTAAACCAGGCTTTATTCTTACCATGTAATCTGTTTGTTAATCACTCTACTATCCATGCTTGTCTTTACCTAGTGATCTGTTTTGTTAATCCCTCTACTAATCCATGCTTATCTGAATCTAATAAGCTGCTTTGATGGTCAATCTTTATTTTATGTTTTGTTACCTTAACCTAATCAACTGCTTTGTTAATACATTATTCAATACTTTATTTCTACCTAATGAGCTGCTTCGTTATATCCAGCTAATACAAACGCGCTTTGTTATCGTTAACTAATGAGTTGCTTAGTTAAGTCCATTTATACTCTTTGTTTACGTGACCTAATGAACTGCTCTGTTATGTCCATCTACCACTCCAATCTTTGTTTACGTGACCTAATGAACTGCTTTGTTATGTCCATCTACCACTCCACGCTTTGTTAACGTGACCTAGTGAACTGCTTTGTTACGTCTATCTTATATTCCAAACTTTGTTAACGTGACCTAATGAGCTTCTATGTTACGTCCATCTACCACTCCACGCTTTGTTAACATGACATAATTAGTTGCTTTGTTATGTCCATCTACAACCCCAAGCTTTGTTAACAGGACCTAATTAGTTGCTTTGTTATGTCCATCTACCACTCCAAGCTTTGTTAACGTGACCTAATTAGTTGCTTTGTTATGTCCATCTACCACTCCAAGCTTTGTTAACGTGACCTAATTAGTTGCTTTGTTATGTCTATCTACCACTCCAAGCTTTGTTAACGTGACCTAATTAGTTGCTTTGTTATGTCTATCTACCACTCCAAGCTTTGTTAACGTGACCTAATTAGTTGCTTTGTTATGTCTATCTACCACTCCAAGCTTTGTTAACGTGACTTAATTAGTTGCTTTGTTATGTCTATCTACCACTCCAAGCTTTGTTAACGTGACCTAATTAGTTGCTTTGTTATGTCCATCTACCATTCCAAGCTTTGTTAACGTGACCTAATTAGTTGCTTTGTTATATCCATCTACCACTCCAAGCTTTGTTAACGTGACCTAATTAGTTGATTTGTTATATCAATCTACCATTCCAAGCTTTGTTAACGTGACCTAATTAGTTGCTTTGTTATATCCATCTACCACTCCAAGCTTTGTTAACGTGACCTAATTAGTTGCTTTGTTATATCCATCTACCACTCCAAGCTTTGTTAACGTGACCTAATTAGTTGCTTTGTTATATCCATCTACCATTCCAAGCTTTGTTAACGTGACCTAATGAGCCGCGTTGTTACGTCCATCTACCACTCCAATCTTTTTAAGCGTGACCTAATGAATTGCTTTGTTACGTCCATCTTATATTCCAAACTTTGTTAACGTGACCTAATGAGCTGCTTTTTTTACGTCCATCTACCACTCTAAGCTTTGTTAATTTTTGCTAATGAACTACTTTGTTACGTCCATGTACCAATCCAAAGTTTGTTAACGTGACCTAATGAACTGCTTTGTTATATCTTCCCATCAGGAATGTCAAGGCTGTACCAGTGGAAACAGAACCCCCCTGTGACCAATGACGTCAGCTACCTGCCCTCCCCCCGCTCGCCCGTCGACAACCCCCGGATGACCCCCAACGAGCTCATGACAACCAGCCTCCTCTCCAACCTCCAGAGCGACCGCGACTTCTCCTGGAATGCCTCGTCCATCACGTGCCCTTTGACCTCCACCCAGAACAACATGTCCCAGGTCGTTGACCAGCAAGTCTTCGGCAGCGCCTCCATCAGTGGCCAGTACAAGTTCTCGGATTCCTACCTCAACAAGGGCTCGTCTTACTCTCTGGAACCGCGGCGTCAGATGGCTAACAGTGGGAGCAGTTCTTTGATGGGCCGGGGACAGAGTGAGCAGCCGGAAGATTCCGGTCTTTTCTATGACAGTGAGGACTGCAGACAGAATACTTGGTTAGTATTTTCAGCTGTTGAAGATTCCAATCAAAGGAATATGTACTCGTAGCTTTAACTTTGTCGTATGCTTTGCTTAGATCTGTATCAGGGTTTCTTTCAGGCTTTTTTCTTCTAGGGGCAAGGGCATATAAAACTTCGTTGGGTTTGAAGGAGTGGGCAGACACTGGTATATATTTTCCATATAAATTATTTCTTGCTTATTATTTCGTTATGGTTGGGTTCGGTAGCTTTGAACCTGTTCCGTGGCACTCCCCCCTCCCCGAAAGATGCCTGAAAAAAACTCTGTATTGCCAAATATGCACTTTCTCAAACTTAAATATCTCTCAGCACATACGTGTCATTTAATTGTGTTTAATTAGTTTCTCACCTTAGTTTACTGTATTACGCTGATACTAGTCTTGTTTTGTACCCTCATACTTTATTTCATATTTTGATAGTATATTGTTTATATTTACAATACTTGAGTATAACAAAATTGATTTTTACACGGCACATGAATAGATTATAATCAACCGTTATATTATTCGTCAGATAGGGATTTGATTTTTATATATGGAATAGTTTGTATATTCACCAGTAAAGGAATAGTTTGTATTTATTTATTCACCATTTTACCATAAGGGAATAGGTTGTATTTACTAAATAGAGAATAGCTTTTATAGATATTAACCCGGTAGAGAATAGCTTGTATATAGTGGTCGGGTAATAGCTTGTATATACCGGTTAGGCAATAGCATGTAATTACCTGTTAGGGAATTGTGTATATTTGTTTACCAGTTAGGTAGTAGTTTGTATTCTCCAGTTAGGGAATAGTTTGTAGTGCCTATTTAGGAAATATTTTGTATTCCCCAGTTAGGGAATAGTTTGTATTCCCCAGTTAGGGAATAGTTTATATTCCCTAGTTAGGGAATAGTTTGTATTGCCCATTTAAGAAATAGTTTGTATTCCCGATTTAGGGAATTGCTTGTATTCCCCATTTAGGAAATAGTTTGTATTCCCCAGTTAGGGAATAGTTTGTATTCCCCCGTTAGGGAATAGTTTGTATACTCCAGTTAGGGAATAGTTTGTATTCCCCATTTAGGGAATAGTTTGTATTGCCCAGTTAGGAAATAGTTTGTATTCCCCAGTTAGGGAATAGCTTGTATACTCCAGTTAGGGAATAGTTTGTATTCTCCAGTTAGGGATTAGTGTGTTTTCCCCCCGTTATGGAATTGTTTGTAGTGCCCATTTAGGAAATAGTTTGTATTCCCCAGTTAGGGAATAGTTTGTATTCCCCAGTTAGGGAATATTTTGTATTCCCCAGTTAGGGAATAGTTTGTATTCCCCAGTTAGGGAATAGTTTATATTCCCTAGTTAGGGAATAGTTCGTATTGCCCATTTAAGAAATAGTTTGTATTCCCGATTTAGGGAATTGCTTGTATTCCCCATTTAGGAAATAGTTTGTATTCCCCAGTTAGGGAATAGTTTGTATTCCCCCGTTAGGGAATAGTTTGTATACTCCAGTTAGGGAATAGTTTGTATTCCCCAGTTAGGAAATAGTTTGTATTGCCCAGTTAGGAAATAGTTTGTATTCCCCAGTTAGGGAATAGTTTGTATTCCCCCGTTAGGGAATAGTTTGTATTCCCCAGTTAGGGAATAGTTTGTATTGCCCAGTTAGGAAATAGTTTGTATTCCCCAGTTAGGGAATAGCTTGTATACTCCAGTTAGGGAATAGTTTGTATTCTCCAGTTAGGGAATAGTGTGTTTTCCCCCGTTATGGAATTGTTTGTAGTGCCCATTTAGGAAATAGTTTGTATTCCCCAGTTAGGGAATAGTTTGTATTCCCCAGTTAGGGAATAGCTTGTATTCCCCAGTTAGGGAATAGTTTGTATTCCCCAGTTAGGGAATAGTTTGTATTCCCCAGTTAGAGAATAGCTTGTATATTTATTCACCTCTCAGACAATTTTCTCAGGTCTTGGAAGGGGAGACAAAACAATGGTGAAGAGAAACGCGGCAACCCTGCCTGTTGCGACAACCCGCTCTCCCAGTCCATGCAGTCCCTTGGCAACAAGGTTGGCAGATAATATAGCCACAAATTTTAATTGAATCATTGGTTCGTTAGTAGTCCCAGATTTAACTGCTCCATCTGAGACAAGGAAATTTGTCATGTTATGTTATGTTATCTACCCCTACCCAGTGGCGTAGCGAGGTCGGGTGTCACCCGGTGCGGCACTTAATGGTGTCACCCCCCCCCCTAGAGATGTAGCGACCCTTCCCGGGGACAAACTTTCAAATTTTCAATTTGCACCCCCCCCCCCCTCAAACTTTCGCTTTGCACCCCCCCCCCTCAAACTTTCGATTTACACCCCCCCCTCAAATTTTTCTCTATATATTTTGCTACTTTTTGCCTTGGTGTCACCCCACTAAATGGTGTCACCCGGGGCACTCCGTACCCCCCCCCCTCTCTACACCTCTGCCCCTACTCGCAGACATGTTCTTACACACTGTCTTATCTTAAGCTTTTGTATATCTGTTGTGTACTTTACTGTGAGAAGAGTTTACAAAATAATTTATTTGCTTTGTTTTTATGAGGCATTTACATTGTAAAAATGTAAAATTTCTAATATAATTTAATTTTACACTAGATGCTAGCATTTACTTACGATTTCGTTCAAATCTTTTACAGATGTTTTCATCCCAGAACAACGTGGAAAGTCAAATGGGCGGACGGAAATCGGGCGACGAAAACGAAACAAATAAAACCAAAGATGGGAACATCAGCCCCACTGAGATGGCGCCCCAGTCGGCGGATAGCTTAAACAAGCTACGCCTGAACCGCGCGTTCAGTGACCCGAACAGTTCCTCGTCTATTTTTAGACCCTCCCCTCACGGCAGCGCGTCCATGTCGCAGCTGACGTCACTACAACAACAGGCCAGGGTGAGTAAAGCCGAGGAATCGGTTTTCAAGATTTCAGAGGATTTGGAGAAGACATACTTGGATAATAGTAAGACGCCGTGGCATGAGATGGTGAATGAAGAGGGGTGTGGGAATGAGTATGAGATCGATAACGGAAGCGGTTCCAATGATAAATACGTTCAAGTGCAAAATTATGATGGGACGACTATGTTACTGAGTGATCAGGATATTGCGGCGCTTAGATCGAATGGCTCCAGCAGGTTGTATGGTAATCAAATGCATGCGAAGGAGCAGATGGAACAGAATCAAGGTATGAATATGACAAGAATCGAAGAGCCGCCTAGACCACGTATGATTCTTGGCGCGAACAGCGTGAAGCAGGCGAATGAAGAGAAAATAAAAGCGGAGGTGGAGGAGAGTAATCGAAGACTTCGAGAGATGTTGGGGTTGTTTCCGAACAAGGAGCAGCCGTCGAGTGGTGCCGGTTCTATCCGAATGCCGGAAAATTGCGTCACGTCCCAGCCGTCGGTATTGATGAGTGGTCAAATGCTGCAGCAAGGTGGCGCCACGGCTCACGCTTTAACCACCGGTCAGTTGTCCCGCATGCAAATGGCTGGCGGGAAGTTGCAGACATCCATGGGGATGGCGCAGCAGATGTACTGCGTCCCGAATATTCTAATGCCGCCGCAATCCCCCAACTCAAACCGGCAGTCTAACCTGGTTCCGATCCAAGGCGTCATGTCGAACATGGCGTCGACGTCACGGTTCCCCCAGGGGATGATCCGGGTCCCCTTCGTGGACATGTCCCGTGTGGTCTACGTCCACCAGATGCCGGTCAACATGACGTCCCCGCACCCCAACAACAACCACAACAACAGCAGCAGCAGCAACCCCCACGTCAACACCAGCAACATCATCACCATCAACACCAACGACAACGATTTCAGCTCCACCGGGCAAGGGGACAAGTCTAGCAGACAACTTCGATCCGGTGGAATGAAAAGCAAAACCGCTTTTATCAAAATGCGTTCCGGTTCTGAAGAATTCACGGTTCCAATTCTTGGAATGCGACCATCACTCGACGATAATGTGTGCCCTAGGTTGATCAAAACCAGGACCAACCCTTGGGACCAGGACCTTGACCACGACTTCTCCAACTCCCTTATGTCTAAAGCCGTCAGCATGGAAAACATCACCGGCTTCTGTACCGCCTCAAACGTCCCTGACCCCAACATCATGAACCCGGAAGTCAACTTAATGTACCCGGACATGTCCAACCTCCAAAATGGCGCCCCCAACAACCCTGACCCAAACACGAAAACCGCCACGTTCATGCAATGGCCCGCCTCGGCGGACATGCACCCGGAAATGCTAGACATGCTTCCAGTGCGTCGTGCGATGCCGGAGGATTGTGGCACCGGCAGACTCTCTTGGCCGGAAATGGAATTCCTTATGTCGTCAAGAGAACAGTTACAAACTGCGCGACGCAGCAACAAACCCATGGGCTCTAACAAAGCCAACTTGATCAGCATCATTCCCAAGGGAAGCGCTTCTGAGGGTAACGGCTGCGGAGCCAAAGACACTAGGTTCGATAAGCCTGAAAATAAATTTTAGTTTTTCTACGTTTTTCTTCAGACAAAACCATAGTCTACGTTTTATGTCATATTCATTCTGTTTTTTTAAAGTGATCGAATCGGACTTCAAATACAAACTGCCAACATTTATATATATAAAAAAACTATTTCGAAGGGATGTGTTTTTTTTCGTACGCATCGTTATATCCAGAAGATATATGCACATACGTTCTCATGTTTTAATCTTGATAGTTGACACCGCTTAATGGACTTATGTTTTTTAAAAGTTGATTGTAAAATGTAAAAGGAAAAAAAAAACAGGTGTTACCCGATCAAGATTAACTAGAAAGTTGATAATTTTTGTGTTAAGTATGTAGTCGTGTCATATTTACATGATTATATCACCAAGGTGACGGTATATATTGTAGTATATACTCACATGTCATTTGATTGGTTGTGTCTGCATAACTGTGATTTAAATAAAACTTGTAATAAATCGACGCAGCATTTTAATGACATCTTATTTCCTCATGTTATTACTTTAAAAAATGATGTTTCAAGCGTCATCTCAAATGCACATTTTTTTTTTGCACGTGACTCAAATATTTCATTTGTAACTTTACCGTTTACCTTAGCTACAATTATCCTTTTTTTTTAAAGATTGGAATGCTCAAATTGTAAATACTTTACAATTAACCCTCTATTCCTATAACAAAGAATCGTGATTTCAGTTGGTTTTAATATTTTAAATTGTATGGTAGCTCTCAAATATGATGGTACTTTCATTTTACATGAGGCATATATTTAACCTATACTTTTACTAATGTGATCTCAAATTATCAATGAAAAACTTTGTGATTACATATGTAACTGTTGAAACAATTGCTTGTATACATTTTGCTTGTGGTAAAGAGACTCATACTAATATAAATATTAAACCAATGTAGATATTGAGATCACGAGAGAGAATTTATTTTGGCTTTTTTAATATAGTTCTTGGTAAATAGCCTTGTACCTATAGTTCGTTAATGGCAACTCAAGAAAAAAAAAAGTTCTTTTATCAATTGTTTAAAAATAAAAACTTGCCTAATTGATTTGCATATCATTACATTGGTAAGAAAAGTTGCATTTTTTTCTACAGACCGTTACTTTGATCACATGCCTTTGATTTTTTTCTAGCAAACTGATGAATGAATGTTTGTTGTTTTTAAATATTCAAAAGACACATTACATTTGTATTTGTTTAATCTTGCAATGTCCTGTAGAAAATAATGCACTATATTTTAAACAATTAGAACAAGATAATTGTCGTATTCGTTTCTTGCAGAATCATTATAAGATGGGTTTTTATCTTTTATAACGAAAAGGTCAAAACTGTCGGTTTTTTTAAACGTCTTCTGTGATTTTGCATCTAACTATCGGGCCTTTTTAAAGTGAGTGTATAGGCCTAGGCTTGCGATACTAGAGATTGCAGCTGTACATGTACATAGATTATTGGAGTATGAACTCTGCCCGTTCGAGCATTGAAATGTAACCTTTGGTTTAGCTGTACTCATTCATTGTATTGTGCTTTGGCAGGCCAAACTAAATGCTCATTTCCTTTTGTACCTGTTGTATTGCAAGTCGTTCATGGAAAACCTTCCCCAAAATAGCGCTATGGTTATTCTTTTTTTAAAGATCCGAAACTAAATTGCGGTTTAATTTTTTTTCTTCTATTTGTACATTCATTCGTGCTGTTGAGCTGTAGTTAGCAATATGTGTTTCACTCAATCTTTCATTGTAACATTATTCAGTTGGTTGCCATAGCCATGCCACAGTATGAAAATAACATACGTGCTCTGATGCATGTTACATACGATAAAATATTTCTGCACTGATTAAAATACAGAGCAGCGTTATGATAAGCACATCCATTTTTTACATCAATTTTTCTATGATTAGTTTCAGTACATTCTTAACTAGGTAAATGCTTTAAATGCGCTGTATTTTACAGAATATTATATATATTTTTCACTAAGTTTGTTAAGAAATGTTGAATTTGACTCAAGTTTCGTATGTTAAAACATTCTTTGCTGTTTACACGTATTTCATGAATTGTGTACAATTTGGTGGCTGAAAACAATCCCATAGATCTTAGTTTTTTTTAATTAATCAGTTTTTCTTAAAAACCAGAACTATTAAGCCATTGTTAATTATTTTTCCCATACCTAAAAACCTTTTGTTTTCAAAGAAAGAAAAGAATAACCTCTTCATACTCGAATACATAATCTAAAATTATCAAACGTACGATTTTATTTTTCAAGATAAGCTTTTTATCAATGAACTACCAACCCTTTTTTTTCACAAACGTTTAATCTAATCCACCTTTTAAAATGGCTACGTTGTTTCTTCCAGATCCGTTAGTGCTTTGTTGTGTTTCTTTTTGTATACATTCAAGTTGGAGTTTTTGTCACGTTGGAAGAGGGGTCATTCCTTTAAATGTCCCACTCAAAGGCCAACCACATTTTTTATAGTTAGATATACAAATTCAGTCTTTCACAAGAACATTGAATATTTTATGCCTTGAATTTACTGTCCAGCACGATGTTAAGAAAATATCTGAAAAACTTTAAATAGCTTTAAAAATGCAGTATTTACAAAATGTAAAACTTATTTGCAAAGACAATATTCGTACTTTTGTTTAAAGTTAGTTTACATCAAGAAATAGCATTATTTTATTTAAAGTTGACTCAAATAAGTACATTTATTTTGTTAATTTTTTCACTTCTTAAAATAGTACAAATGTATTTTTTAATTGATCCCGTTTTTTATTTTTTACGGGAAAAGAAGCTAGTTCAACAAGTTTCCGGTGTTCTCATCCGCCATGTTTTCTCTTTCCTTCTGTTGGAGCCGTTTTGATTGCAAGACTTTACTGTACTAGGAACTACCTTGACTGTTGGGAGATATCTGTAATCATTTTGTCAGTTGTGTGTTATATGTCTGGAGTGTATTCATGCATTCAGTTGGTTTCAAAATATTTGAGGCGTTTTCACAATTTTAATAAAAGTTGATAAAATTGAGATAGTGTTTTCTGGCTTTTTAAAACATATATTTTTTTAACATTAGTTATTAGGCTAGATCTATATAATTTAAATTAAAAGACTTTAATAAGAAGCTTTCATTATATGCAACAAAAAATGAAAATAATATATTCAATAATTCACCACTATTTAAACATCTATACATCGCTACCTTATTTTGAACATTTCTATTACAATTTTATGAACGGTCTACGCTTTTCTTAACAGTCTAGATCTACATATTAAAACAGTGGTGGATATTTTTTTATAAAAAAAAAAATCTGAATCACATACCTTTATTTAAATAGAATAGAATTACATAGCTTATTGAAATTGCGCACCAAATGAATGCATCCAATATTATTAATAGTGCGATAAATAATTAGAGCTTTATATAGCAATTTTTTTGTCACATTGAATTGTGAACAGATCTTGAAATTGACTAGCTAGACGAAACGGCAATATCGCTCACAAGTTTCAACACATTAAAAACTTGTTAAAAAAAAAGACAATTTGGACATTGTTGCTATGGGTGCTATCCTGTTTTCCTAGCACTACCAGGTACAGAGCGTACAATAGGTTTTTGTTTTACCTGGCGCACTACAAAATAACTTGTCTAAAAAAAAAAAAACCTGGAAATAAGATCTCGTATTATGGTTATAGCTAGAGACAAAAGTAGCTAGAGACAAGAAACAAGGGCTGGGTTTAGCGCTAGTTTTATTGGAATTTTGGCATAGAAAAACGTTGTAGTTGCTGAACCCACAAAACCCGAGTTCGAACCCCCGGGCAGGTGAGGCTCGATAGCTGGGACAGCAACTCTTCTAGGAGAGACAACTCTAAAATCGAACAACTGCTGCCTTGTAGTTTGTTCTTGGTTGGACAAAGGCTATGGAAGCAAATAAAAAAAACAAAGCAGGCTGAAATTGGAGTCAACGGTCTAAATGGCTCATAACCAGTTGACACGTATCCTTAATTGTGTTAGGGGGAATCACCATTCAACACTAAAATTAAGAACGAAGAAGAAGAAAGAAGAATCAAGAGTTAAAGCAGGGTAAGGTTAGGGTATAAATCAGGGTGAAGGTTAAACAATCTTTATTAAGATTTTGGCCCAGGTTACGACAAGGGGTACGTTAAGTAGTTTAAAGTTAGGTTAGGAGTTAAGGTTAGGATTCAAGTCGATACAAACACAAAAATGGACCCCCCCTCTCACTTGTACTCTATGAGGTACCTGTGCAGGTGAGTTCCATCGCCCCCCTTCGTTGAAGGAATCTGTGCCGTTCATTCGTTCCTGTCTAGACCCAGTATACAGCTCCAGACAAACGATACAACTGGTAAATCAATTGAATGGGCTGACAGTATCGGGATTTGAAAAGTAATTTTACAGGAGAGAAATTGCTATCAGTTCAGTGAGGATTTTATAATTTTAAAAACATTTTTCTTGATCACCCAGTGACGTCGTTAATAGCTACCATAGTTAATTACAAAGATAAAGGTGTAATTATTTTTCACATGTTAGCTTGATATGTCAGCTTGATATGTTAGCTTGCTATGTTAGTTTGATATGTTAGTTGATATGTTTTGCTTTGCCTAACGTAAGTTAGGTATCCATCAGAGCTGCGTGGACTGAGGGATAATATAGAACAAAAAAATCGCTTAAATTTTACGTGGTAAGTATGAAAACTGGCACTTAAAAAACTTGGGTTTCTGTCTGAGATTGGTCGGTCATAAAGTTCTAGTCACATTCTGTAAACACACATATCACCTTTATTCTAATCTATGGTCCATAAGCTATCACTTTTATTCTATAGGCCAAAAGCTATCACTTTTATTCTATGGTCCATAAGCTATCACTTTTATTCTATAGGCCAAAAGCTATCACTTTTATTCTATGATCCATAAGCTATCACTTTTATTGTATAGCCCAAAAGGTATCACTTTTATTCTATAGCTCAATAGGTATCCCTTTTATTTTTATTCTATGATCCATAAGCTATCACTTTTATTCTATAGGCCAAAAGCTATCACTTTTATTCTATGATCCATAAGCTATCACTTTTATTGTATAGCCCAAAAGGTATCACTTTTATTCTATAGCTCAATAGGTATCCCTTTTATTTTTATTCTATGATCCATAAGCTATCACTTTTATTGTATAGCCCAAAAGGTATCACTTTTATTCTATAGCTCAATAGGTATCCCTTTTATTTTTATTCTATGATCCATAAGCTATCACTTTTATTCTAAACCTCAAACGCATCACTTTTATTCTCTGGGCCAAAAGGTGTCACAATAATTCTATAGCCCAAAAGGTATCAATTTTATTCTATAGCCCAACGGATCAACAAATGTTGCCCAGTGTATCTACCCCCTCCATGGACACAATTACCAGGACCCTTCTCCCTCTCTCCCCCCCCCCCTCCCCCCGCCGATGATACCACAGGTAAAACGTGTTTCTTTTATCCCTATTCCCCTATCAGTGACGACCAATCCTTATTTACCTTTAATCAACTTTTTTTCTCTCTCTTTTCCCCCCTCCCCACCCCCACCCTCACACACGCTCCTGTTACCTGGATACCCCGCATCCCATACGTCATAATCTGTTCCCCAGTATCACCCACTACGTCATTAACCTCTGTTTTTATTACCTCTCCTATCCCCCCTCCCCCCAGCTGTTGGGCGCGCTAGCCTGTGTATTTTCCAAAGTTGTGATTAAGGGGAGAATTTGTTGTTATTCGTTTCCGGGGGATGCCCGATTATGTTTTTTTTCCTTCTCTTTTTAAATAAAGGTCTGCGTGTTGTGATAATAGAACAGGGGCGTGCCCGGGGGGGGGGCTTAAGAAAGGTGGGTGGGGTGTCGTTCCTTCTATTTACTAAACAGCAGAATTATATTTAAAAAAAAACCCATTGAAACACGTAGAATTACGCATGGGCTCTGCTACGTAAGTACACAAACGCGTATTATAAATTACTGATATTCCCATCTTAAGAGCGCTAGGCTGGTAACCCGAAGGTCCCGAGTTCGAATCCGGGTCCAAGTCAGTACAACGTCCCAGAGTTCACCCAGCTATAGTGGGTACCTAACTTATATTAGGGAAAATAAAGACGGTTGGGCATAGTACTGACCACACCTTCCCTTCAACGCCGAGGTCAAGAAATATATGAACTCTACTTCACCTGCCCCAATGGATCGCTAGGTATAAAGAGGATTCTTTACTTAATTTTTTACTTTACACCATTACATACGTACACAGACGCTTATTCTAAATAACTGACACTCCGTTCCCCTTTTAAAATATATGGAGCCGCCCCTGTAAAGATGTATTTAATGTAAAGGTAAAAAAAAAAGCAAATGTTAGTCTGTTTCAGAGCGTTTAGAGAAATATTATTTCATCTTGCTTTCTGCTCTGTCTAGTATGTAAAAAATAAACACCAGGCTATTTCTTATTTTTTGTTGTTGTTAAATGGTTTATTTTGGGGGTGTGGGGTGGGGTTCAGGTGTAATTTTATCACCACGATATGTCAACTTGCAATTCCTGAAGAATAGCCGCTAACACACATCATCTAAATTCTCGATACATACGACATAGATCGACTAAAACAGGAAAGACGATTGGAGACTAGTCAAGCCCTATATATATATATATATATATATATATATATATATATATATATATATATATATATATATATATATATTTATATATATATATATATATATATATATATATATATATATATATATATATATATATATATATACACGCACATTTTTATGTATATATATACATACACACGCGAATATATATATATATATATATATATATATATATATATATATATATATATATATATATATATGTATATATACAGGGACTTCCAAAAATCTTTGGCAGAGGGCGCCAATGCATTTTGCTTATTGTATAATTAGAAGCCAACACAATTTTTATTTCAATATCTGAAGCTATGCATATTCACATGCCTTTAATTAAGAAAAATGTTTTTAGATAATCCTCAACGTTTCTAATCTAAACCTGTCCATGTGACATATTGTACTGAAGCTGAAATAAGATGTAAATGTGTTTATTACACATTTATCTTGAGCTTATAACTGGGTGATAAATTGAAATAATTTTTTTAGATATGCATTTTAACAAAATAATGTGTTTCTTCAAAATGTTTAATGAATGCAACTTTCGTCTTGAGATATCTTCTACCTCGTGAAATCCTGGGTGAATTTTTAAATATTTAAACTTGATATGGGGCAAGGCGGTTACTAAGACGGGTATTGACCAAGACGGATATAGATGTATTGAATTAAGACAGGTAGACCAAGACGGGTATAGACCAAGACAGGTAAACCAAGACAGATAGACCAAGACGGGTATAGACCAAATAGACCAAGACGGGTATAGACCAAGACCGGTATAGACCAAGACGGGTATAGACCAAGACAGGTAAACCAAGACAGATAGACCAAGACGGGTATAGACCAAATAGACCAAGACGGGTATAGACCAAGACCGGTATAGACCAAGACGGGTATAGACCAAGACGGGTAGACCAAGACGGGTATAGACCAAGACGGGTATAGACCAAGACGGGTATAGACCAAGACAGATATAGACCAAGACATCGACCAAGACGGGTATAGACCCAGACGGGTATAGACCAAGACGGGTATAGACCCAGACGGGTATAGACCAAGACGGATAAACCAAGACGGGTATAGACCAAGACGGATAAACCAAGACGGGTATAGACCAAGACGGGTATAGACCCAGACGGGTATAGACCAAGACCGGTATAGACCAAGACATCGACCAAGACGGGTATAGACCAAGACGGGTAGACCAAGACGGGTATAGACCAAGACGGGTATAGACCAAGACGGGTATAGACCAAGACGGGTAGACCAAGACGGGTATAGACCAAGACATCGACCAAGACGGGTATAGACCAAGACGGGTATAGACCAAGACGGATAAACCAAGACGGGTATAGACCAAGACGGGTATAGACCCAGACGGGTATAGACCAAGACCGGTATAGACCAAGACATCGACCAAGACGGGTATAGACCAAGACGGATAAACCAAGACGGGTATAGACCAAGACGGGTATAGACCCAGACGGGTATAGACCAAGACCGGTATAGACCAAGACATCGACCAAGACGGGTATAGACCAAGACGGGTATAGACCCAGACGGGTATAGACCAAGACCGGTATAGACCAAGACATCGACCAAGACGGGTATAGACCAAGACGGATAAACCAAGACGGGTATAGACCAAGACGGGTATAGACCAAGACCGGTATAGACCAAGACATCGACCAAGACGGGTATAGACCAAGACGGGTATAGACCAAGACGGGTATAGACCAAGACGGGTATAGACCAAGACGGGTACCACGACCCGGGGAAGGAGCGAGACGGGTACGGCGACGAGGGAGGGCGGGGGGCTGTGAGAGCGGGTGTTGCGGCAAGACGGACGGGGTGGAATGGGTTTTGAAACGTCATCTCCCGACAGCTTCAATCAATCCTGCCGTATATTTGCGTCTGCCCGAGAGAGAGAGCCTCAGCAGACGTTCTGCTGGTGGAGGGGCATATGTTTCAAATGTCAGACTATAGAACGTAGTGAAACTTTCATTCTCTTTGACGTTTTCTGATAGAAGAATTGTTTAACTCCAGATATTGACGCAACTTTTGTTTAAAGTTTGAGAGAATAGAAGTTATTTTTATTACTGCAAGTTAATTTTTGTCCTTCTTATATTAAAATTTAAAAAAATAATTAATTCCTGTTAAAAAAAATTTCTTGCAAAATTTGGAGTTCATATAGCTATAAACAGGACAGACTGGCGATTTAAAAAGTGGAATTAAGAAAAGGTTTACTTCTTTACTCAAGTAAGTGGTAGATATTTTAAAGTTGTCTTTTTATTTCATTTAAAGATTTATTTTTTTCTAATATATAAGTTGCATAATTATGCGTACGGTAGATTTATCCCCTTATATTATTGTTTTAAAAGACGTATAGTTATAATCTATACGTGCCCGCGTATATATATATATATATATATATATATATATATATATATATATATATATATATATATATATATATATATATATATATATATATATATATATATATATATATATATATATAGTGAGGTATATGAAAATATTTTAGCCGATGTAATAAAGAAATATACACAATCCCTACTAATAAGCGTTTGTAATTATGTACTTTGAGCTTTTTTTTTAAATATTATTTTCCATGACATTACCGATCTACGTTCTCGTATTAATTTTAAAAAGTCACAAATTATCAGTCGGTTAAAACATTTACAATTTATCTGGCAATTGACCTGGATTATTTTAAAAAATAATAATTTAAATGATTGTAATTTTAAAATATGGAATTTTTAAAATAAAATTTTAAAAAGTTGTCGTAATTCGTTTTTTCGAAGATTGTATAAGCATCAAACAATTTTAAATTAACATTAACTAGTTAGGTTTACCACAAGAAAACATGGTCAATCGCCTAATATAAGGACTCATTTTAATCTACCCTATTCGAAGTCCGTATCATTTTGCTTTTTTAAAGTTACATGTGAGCCATTGTAATTATTAGTATTGCATCAAGTGTACAATATATATCAAGTTTATGTTAACAACTAGTATATATTTAAATATATATATATATATATATATATATATATATATATATATATATATATATATATATATATATATATATATATATATACATATATATGTATATATATATATATATATATATATGTATATATATATATATATATATATACATAAATATATATATACATATATGTATATATATGTATATATATATATACATATAAACACACACGCACACATACACACGCTCATATACATACATATATATATATATATATATATATATATATATATATATATATATATATATATATATATATATATATATATAGTACATATTTTTAGCGAAACTAGTATATATTAGTATACGCTGGTAATTATTAACGTCAACATTTAAATAACACTTAAATTAGAGTTAACTATTAGTGTGATGTAATGCTTTGTTTCATTGAAACTTAATTCGTTTCTAGACGTAAAAAAAACAACTTTCAGTTATCATTTTGATACAATTATAACATTATCGATTAACAGTCTTATTTTGATTATAGTTTCCGTATTTTGTCCACACCAACAAACGCTATCTGTCCTCGGATAATTTTTAAATCTCTATTTCCCACCCCATTATCGCCCCTTTATTTCCCGTAGTAACGGTAGCTATTTTTAACCGCATCGATGTGAAGGTTCATTTATCTGCACCGTTTGACCTTTCGACGATAACATTTCTATATTTACCCCACAACACACACAACTTCCGGTCATCAAAACCGCAAATGTTGGCCCAGCGAAACAAATAGATTTGTGAATTATGGGATGGGTTAGAATATAAACCTGGTTTTCCCTATACATATCTGTTGCCTGTTTACTCGCAGTTGCCAAGTGGGTCTAATGACAGTTGCTGTCATTATGTCATGTATCTCAGCGATGTCATGTGTCGACCGACATCTCGACAATGTCGAAAAACTGACGGCTCCATAATGACATGTGCCGAATACCATTTCCATAATGTCATAATCTAATGACATCTCGACGTACTATAGAGCCTAACCTCTCTCTGTCAGTTACCCACTGAGACAGTCCAGTACGGCTGAAATCTCTAACATACTTTAGTTAAAATCGTTTAAGTTTCGCTTTTTAACAGATTATTTAACTATATATATAGTTATATTTACTAAATACATATATTTATAGAGTATTTTAAAAAATATATATGTATATGTATATATGTATATGATATATGTATAAACATAGATGTAGGTATCCTATATATAAATTTATATATATATATATATATATATATATATATATATATATATATATATATATATATATATATAGGCTTCATATACCTAAGATTATGTATTATATGCCATATTATGAATAAAACAATCTCAACTAAGTCGTATTTGAAGCTGTCCAGTAACTCTAAACAGTGTTTCTTCCAGACTTTTTTCTCCGGGGGGGTGGAGGGAACACTTGATAATTTGTGTGTGTGTGGGGGGGGGGGGGGAAAGCGGACACTGGTAAAACTATATATTTTCTATATAAATTACATTTGATTCGGGGGGGGGGGCGGTAGACTGGAAGAAACTACATTCTCCTGTCCTCTGACCAACACCTCTGACCACTAGACCAGCGGCAAGTACACGGCGTTTTCATAGATAAGCAAAACACAAACTGAAGGGAATTTAAAAAAAAAAAATTATACGCAGAAAAAAAATATCTCCGACATTTATGCCGACATTTTGTCGTGTTGTGTTCTTGTGACAGTTATGATCTAAGCACAGACCGCAGAAAAAAACTGAACGTAATTTTTTTTTTCTTTCTCGGTCACGTGGTCGTTTTGTGTTTACATGTACCGTCCTAATCGGCAACCTTTAAACTTATCTAGGATTGGCCAGGTAAGCGGGAGGATAAGGTATCAAAGATAATTTTTTCCCCCAGAATCTTTAGGGAGTTTAGTATTTACCTGTGATTGCATCGATTATATTGTTCGGGGTTATCCGATTTCATTAGTTTCATGAGTCCAATTACAGGTGTGGTGGATTGTTAGTATTGTATTGTATTGTCGATTTTAGATCTATGGTCAGAAAGTAGGTATACGGCTTAAGTTACGGTTAAGATTAGTTAGAGTTTTGGGCAGTCATAGCTTTGGCATTATCAATTCATTAGTAAATATTCTAATAGCAATAATCTAACAATTGTTTTCAAAGAGATTCCATGTATGAGACGGATAACGTTGTAAGATGGTTATTAGATCGATGGTATCGATAGTTCACAGTCCGTGGTTTACTGTGTTCTTCTTGTGATTTAGCGTTTTAAACAATGTTGGTCAAAAATTCGATTTAGACGACCCGTAAACATCAATGGACGTGTGTGTGTGTGTGAGTTTGTGTGTGGTGTGTGTGTGTGGGGGGGGGGGGGGGTATTCTGTTATTCCTGGTCGAGTTGTAAAGTGAAAGACTGCTAACCCGAAAGTCTCGAGTCAGTTGGGCGTCCCTGAGTCCACCCAGCTCTGGTGGGTACCTGTCTCACGTTAGGTAAACAAAGACGGCTGAGCAAAATACCGACAGACCATACTATCCATTCGAATGCAGAGGTAATTGAAACAGACGAACTCTACTTCATCTGCCCCAATGTGTCTTTGGCACGTGAACAAAATTATAATGATGATGAAATTAAACCAAGAGATTTATCCATAAACTAGAAGTACTTCAACTAAAAACTGTTATATTTTTCTTGTAATATATTTAAGTTTGCCAAGGTTGTCAAAAAACCGATTTCATATTTTTTTTTTCTAATTGGACAGGGGTGAGTTTACATGTATTTAATTATCGTTTTATACTCATTAACTTTTTATAACGACAGAAAGATGATCTAGTTTTTTTACATTGCGTAGATCTAGTTCACATCATAAAATCAAACCACACTCAGGTTAACTAATTTGATACTGGACAGAATATATAAAAAAAAAACCGAAAGCGTCTACGTTACAGACTAACACGGTACTTCTATTTGAGTGGTCGGGGTGCTAAGATCATGGTTGCTAACTTGAAAGTCTCGAGTTCAAACGCTTGAGCAGATGAGGGGTTAAGTAGGAATGACAACACATTTAGGAAAGAAAACTCCGAAATCAAACAGGAGTAGAGCCCCTTAGGCGATAGGATTACCAACTCTTGTTTCTTTTCACTGCCCCTATGACACTGCTGATTCCAAGCTGTACAAGTAAAGTCCTGTCCCTTGGGTCCATCAGCTGTGTAGAGAGGGGGGGGGGGGTCCAGTGTTCCTTCCAGACTTTTTTCTCCGGGGGGGGGGGGGCACTTGAAATTTTCGGGGGGGGGGGGTGGGGGGCGGTAAACTTTCGTCGGGGGGCGGACACTGTTAAAAGTATATATTTTTTATGTAAATTATATAAATTTCATTTCGTTCGGGGGGCGGTAAAAATTTTTCGGGGGGCTTCGTCCCCCCGAAGAGATGCCTGGAATAAACTCTGGGGGGGGGGGGGGTCTGATACATGGGCAACATCTGGCTCTTCTCATTTTACTGCCCAGACATTGTGCTTGGACTTCAAATACCCAATCAACTAATGATCCATTAGACTATGGAGCCATTCAACTTTCCATACGTCTGTTGTCCCGGGGAAAGAATCAAATAGAAATCTCAAGCCCAGACCAAAGTTGTCTGTTAAAAGCACATCATAAAATGAACCTAAAGAAGGTTTATATCACCTGCCGTAAAATTTAAAATTGTAGATAAAATATATTTTTTTAGATGGACGAAATGCCTTTCTCATTCGACGTTTACCCCCGACCGTATTATTATCTTAACTTCCCATAAACGTCATGTCTAGCGCCTTGCAGGAATATGCCAAGCATACAAGAACTCTTTCATTTTTTGACTCCTAGCTTTTCGGTACACTGTATTTTATTGTATTGTACTGTATTGTACTGTATTATACTGCATTGTACTGTGTTGTGCTGTATTGGGCGATGTCGTAATGTCGCTGTACTGTGGTTAGATTTGACTTCGAGGTTGGGTGAGGTTTCATTTCTTTTTATTAGCTTGTATATATATATATATATATATATATATATATATATATATATATATATATATATATATATATATATATATATAAACATATATCTATATATATATATATATATCATGAGAGCGAGAGAGCAGGGTTTCTTTCAGATATAATTCTCCGGGGGGAGGGGGGCATTTGAAATTTCGGGGGGGGGGGG